ATATTGTGAATAGATTTCAGTCTATATCATATTATCTGATGGTTACAAAATGTATTAATGCTATATAATCATATATTTTCGCGAAGCTCAAATTTCACAGTTTTCAAAAAAGATACAATTTCCCTGCCACTTTCTTTTGTGGTTAAATGTTGCTCACGAAATTCATTAGTGTTTTACTCCATAACAACTTTTCATACATTTATCATTTTGTGGACATATTTTCGGGGTTTAAAGTATCCATGAAATAAGTAAAGAAAATACCCCCATAACACGATAACTAGTGGCTTTATGGAAAGTTATTCTCGCCGATGAAAGTTGTCGTCAGTAACTTTAAGATTTTTAAATGTAAACTGGGTGTTATGAACATCAATAGTAATCAATTACGGAGGGGATGGGCGGGGAGGGGGAGGGGAGGATGGGGGAAGGGAGGAGGAGGAGGAGAGGAGGGGAAGGAGGCGGAGGGGGAGATGGAAGACATAAGAACGACTCAAAATATCTTTTGTTTATATACTCCAAACTTTGTAACTTTTGTCAGATTGAATTACTAGCTATTAGCGATTATCATGATTACGTAATGGTTAACTACAACAGCATTCCTTGACAGTTCCAACATGTCGGGAAACATTAAATGGAATGTAAATTTCAACAGTCCTTATATTGTGTTGGTTCTGTGAAAATCATAACAAAGATTGGTCGAGACAAATTCACTTTCAGACTAGAGGTTGGTGTGCGAACTTGTTTGAGCTACCTTAACTGTCAACATTGTAAGAAATTTCTTTGAAATCCGATAACAATGATGCAAATGGTATCGCGATGACAGAGAGAAATGTTAAAGGACGGACGGATGGACGGACGTCAAAACGAACACAGGGTAAACTTAACACAGGCAGACGAAAGCGTCTCTAGTGAAGAAAGCAGAGAGCTTGTAAGGACAAGTCAAGTCGATATTGTGTATTTCAGATTTATATATCACAATTACTTCAGCGTAAATATCCGAAAGCGATAACGTATACAAAAATAAGTTTGGTTCACATTGGTGCCGATGATGCAGTTTTAAAACATAAATTTTCTGGAATATTGTAAATTAGATTATTTCTAGTCTAGGATATCAATTTCCGATGACAATGACATGGAAAGGACCCGTTACGTGATCAATTTGTGAAACCTGTTGGAGCCTTTATGGCCAATCACAGGAGAAGGGTTTTCACAGTCATAAAATAAAACCTAAATCCTACAAAATAAAGAATAAATGAAGTAGGACATGTACTGGATGCAAAAAGTTAAGGATCCTAAATATTTTCCCGCCATTAACATTACGTCATCTTGTCACTCCTTGACCACTGTTTTAGCACCATAGTATCCACAACAACTTTTCAGTAACGATTTGTCCGTTCCACCTACAGTAAACGTGCAGCATTATATTATGTGACACAGAGTTAAAATAAAAAATGTCAATTGTGGTTTTATTGAAGTTATTGGCCCTAATGTCAAATCAGTCAACAAACTGCGTGTTTCTTCTCAATTTCCTGTCATTTTGCATCCTGTTTTGAACATTTGTTAACATGAACCGTCGGGATGCTGCATGCAGGACACTTTTATGTGTCACAGAGTGTCATTTCTCAATTATGGAATCGATTCCAGATGACAGGAAAAAGTTACCGAAAGACTTCGATCGGGTAGATCACGGTGTACGACAGCCCGCCAGGATCGTTATTTAAGCACTCTTGCTAAGGGAAATCGGTTACTTAGCTCCAGTTGGTTAAATAACGACTTCCGTCAAGTAATGGAAGAATAATTTCTGCACAAACAGTGAAGAGCGTACTTCACAGTTCTGGATTACTCGCCCACACGCCGTCACCGTATAGCTGGGTAATGCTGAGCAGCTGACCATGTGAATTGGCGACTGCGTCAGTGGCAGCCTACTCTTCTACGGATGAGTCCAGGCTTTGTGTGAACTTTCATGAGGAAAGGAGGCGTGTTTCACGTGGGGCTGGTGAGAGGTATGCTGCATCACTGTGCAGACCGTTTCGGTGGAGGCCCAATAATGGTTTTGAGCAGGGATGAGTTTTACTGGTCGGACTGATATGTAAGTGATTGAAGGCGGTAGCCTTACAGGTTAATGGTATTTGTAGGACTCTTGTCTGGTCTAGTCTGTCAACCAACCTTAACCTGATCGAGCATGCGTGGGACATGTTACAACAACGCATTACCGATCGTCCACGGCTCCTTGTCAATCGACTGGAGCTTGCTGATGTCCCTCGTCAAGATGGCCACTAATTCCACAAACGGTTATACGGCGCCTGATTCGCAGCATATCAAGCCGATGTCGTGCCCTTATCAGGGACAATGGAGGACACAATCACAATTGTTGCTAAAACCACACAGGCATTTTAGATCTTTAACGCCATTGGGGCCGTTAACTTTGTTTTAGGAGTAGAATTGAAGTTCTTATAAAAAAAAAACATTAGAATATTTGAGTGTGACGTTTCGATCATCACACGGTTACCTTTCATCAAACAATTGACCAGTGTGATGCGTGCTAGCACGTTCGTACTTGGTGTACGAGATGACAAGGAATCGACCATTTTTTCAGTTGTACAATAATCTTATGTACATTAAGGTCGAAAGTAGTGTGACGAAATAGTAAACATATCATAGCCAAAAATACACAGGATGGTAACAATATACTGTAGTCGATTCGGCAACGTTCTAAGGCCTGGGTCATAGATGTGCAGGAGTCTGTGCCCCCTCAATGTCTATCCAAGAACAACAGCTGTGTTAATATTAATTCAACAATAGTTCACATATATATGTACTTGGTAAGTAATGGTAGGTGTGGGCAATCAGTTAATATATAAATATTCTCTGTTTTATCATCATATATTTTTTTAATTTTCTGTTTACAAGAATGAATTCAATTCCCAAGTAACAACACGTCGATCATCCCACCGCTGACACCAATTTTGTAACGTAGGACGAGCGTCGAGTAGTTACCAGGGAGAAGAAAACAATGCAAATATTCAATTAACAATTTATTTACAACACAAACGAACCACACACACATATCACCCGGTTTCACACAAATACAGAAATACACTACAAAGTTCCAATATGCAGACGATCACAGTCACTGGTCCCACAGAGGAAACGTCTACAAATACTGGTTTCCACAGAGGAACGTCTAAAAATACTGGTTTCTCTGTCCAGAACCCAACGGCGGCGACTCTCTAGTTGCAACGCTTGCGACCTGTCCTGGTGTTCCACATAGTTGGCTGACCTAACTGTACCAAGGTCCTGGTGCCGTCACTTAATAGTGAACGAGATGCACATAGCTCGCGATGTCCTCAAGGTCTGTCTTGGCGTTCTAGTAAGTTGGCTGACCTTACTGTCAAAAGGTCCTGGTGCCGTCACTTACTAGTAACTGACCCTGGCTTAGGTACTTCTAAAGCTGAGGTTGTGACCGTCACATGGAGCACAGTCTATAATCTGTGCCTGTTTATCCTACATAGCCGCTATTGCCAATCGAATCGGGTAAATAACCAGCAAACAACAGTTTGGGAATTCACGCGACTGCCATGAATTCCCACTCACCTGGTCACACAACAAGATACGGTGGCCCGACAGGAACGACGAAAACACCGAACATACACAAACAATAAATATATACATACGACGTGACAATGAGACTTATTCGCTGGTCATCGCCTTATAGTCGCAAATTCATTGACAATTTTTCCAATATGTACGGAAAGAATCATGTGAGCGAAATTAAGGAAAAACGTCGTGAAACTTTTGTACAATTACTGACTGCTGCAGTAGCAAAAACCAATGTTGTTGTTTAAAATTTAAAACCACAATTTCACTCTGATGTAGCCTTAAGCATTTTCCACATTAATATGCAATATTTTCCCGAGATGAAATAGAAAATGCGTCATTTCAATTAGAATGAGAACTTAACGAAACTATGTTTTCCTAGTTGTGTGGAGTTGATAAGAGTCCCTAGAGACTAGGTAAACAGTAGGTTTAATTAGTGATGGTAACAGAATTAAGATTGTGTAATGAAATGATGAACACAGGATAAAAACCAAATTTTATTCATTGAAGTCTTTAAAAGTGATCATATACGTTCGAATTTACGACGTTGATGCAGAATATATAAAAAATTAGCAACAATATCCTTTTTATACGTTTTATAAGTAGTCTTTGAACGAAAATGTTTCGTGTACTTTTGATGGAACACATTTAGGAATTTACAAAGGTAATCTCGCGTATTCACGTTTTTGAAAGGAAATCTCGCGTGATCTCGTTCTTTTATCAGATCTTTGTTGGTGTTTTTTTTCACTTACCGCAAATTAACACTATTGAAAAACTGTATCAGTGAAAATCAGCACGCGGAACCAGACCTGAAAGCTATGTTACAGTGATCTGTCAACCGTAAACTTCACGAACCGTACATGTATAGTATGGTTATATATCTTTTGTCCATCAACCGTTAACTTTACAATCGTGCGGAATCATACATGTACATAGATAACGAAACTATATAACACTGGTTTGTCAACCACAAACATCACAACCACATGGAACCACGCTTGTACCCTGACCTGGTCTATCTAACACTGGTTTGTCAGCCATAAACATCACAACCACATGGAACCACGCTTGTACCCTGACCTGGTCTATCTAACACTGGTTTGTTAGCCATAAACATCACAACCACATGGAACCACGCTTGTACCCTGACCTGGTCTATCTAACACTGGTTTGTCAGCCATAAACATCACAATCACATAGAACCACAATGACTTGAACTTTCGCCTGAATATTAGAGGTCTGTCTTCAATAACTGTGTTATTGTTTCAACCAAGGCGTTGATAAGTATTTGGATAGAGAGTATTTAAAAATGCTGATTGTTTAAGGAATGACATTTTTTAAAGTATATCGTTCATCGTGTGAAGTTGTGCGATCCCACAACTGTATGAAAGGCCAGACTCGTCACGATGCTTATATACTCACAGGATGAGAAGGTAAGACAGGCAAACGTTCATATAAAGTTAGGGAGTAAGTGGTCAGCAAGCTTGGCTGTAGAGGATGCAGAAACCAGGGTCAGACACAAAGAAGGTATACTGTGGAAAACAGGGTCTGTGAACACCGTGCAGACAACAATGGAAAACAGGCAGACTCTACAGAGACAAGGGTACTGGTACAGCGTGAGTTCACAGTTCAGGTAGAAGACGAAAGGAGGAAAACAGACGGATTAGGCTACCAGAGCGCGTGTCCAAGATGGAATATAGAAGAGAAGCGACTATCTTGGAACGCTTTCTGGCGATTTTCATCTTTTCAGCTGAATTTCCTTCTGTGCTCTGCTTACGAAGTCTTACCATCACCGGCCAATCTTAATACGTGAGGACTGGTACAATACCCGGTATGTGCACTGTGTGGCAAGAATGGAACGTTAGAACATCTGCTGACAAGCTGTCAGACGGTATTAATTCAGGGCCGTTAGACGTAAAGACATAACGAAGTACGACGTGACCTTGCAGATGCACTGGAACGGGAAAGGAAAGAAAGCAAACAGAAGGTTTGTACCATCAACTTTGTAAAGGAAGGTTAGAGTACATCAACGCCTGGAATCAACATGAAACAAGGTCGTTTGGAAATGACTTATCTCAGACCAGACATTGTACTGTGTTCTAAGGAGAGGAAGAAGATACTGGTAGAGTTTGACTTTGTCGTGGGAGGAGAGAGGTGGACAAGCCAATGAGAGGATACATGGCAAGTACGAGGACCTGTTGACATAGTGCCTGGAGCAGGGATGGCAGACATGAAACTTCTTTGTGGAAGTTGGGTGTAGGGTTTCCCCAGCACCATCAGCGTGGATAATGTTCAGCGCTCTAGTAATGATGGGGAAGGAGAAGAAAGGAGCATTACAGAGGCTCGCCCATGCAGCCAAACACTTGCCTCTAGTCGGATGAAGAGAGGTTCCAGTAACTACGGAATACTGCCAATGGGGAGCCCAGAATGGCATTTTGGTGTTGTTGCTGCTGCTGTTGTTGTTGTTGTTGTTGCTGTTGTTGTTGATTTTGTTGCTGCTGCTGTTGTTGTTGTTGCTGCTGCTGTTGTTGTTTTTGTTGCTGCTGCTGTTGTTGTTGTTACTGCTGATGCTGCTGTTGCTGTTGTTGTTGTTTTTGCTGCTGCTGCTGTTGTTGTTGTTGCTGCTGATGCTGCTGTTGCTGTTGTTGTTGTTGTTTTTGTTGTTACACTCATTGCTTTTTTTAAATTTGGGCTCATCAGTTTCTAGGCTATTTTTTCTGTACTTTTTCTTCAGACTTCAAACGTGCTTTTGGAAAACTTTATACTACAATTACAATCTGTATCATTTATTTTAATATTTGTGTATAGAATACATGTTTGTAACCGTGTCTACGTCAATTTGAATGCAAAACTTGTTAGGTAAAAAATGTCGGATATATTCAAATCAAATTTCGACGAATGTGACAGGAACTGATGTTTTGTTCTCATAACATATTAACAAAGTCATTCGATTGAAAGAAAGAGAGAAATGCCAAAAGGGACATGAATTAAGACGAATTTAAAATCTGGGTTTGAAATTGATTTCCTTTTGTTATAGTCATAATACAAAATGATTCCAAATTTAAAAACTGTTACAGTTTTCGTTGTTATCCATTTATTCAATCATATTTTAATTACGTATTTCCGTCATGCCTTTAAATTGTTGGGGGTTCTGTCCGCGAAGTATTAACAGAACAATTAATGTACGTTGTCAATGTTTAACTAAAGAAGCATACACGTTTTTGTTATAACGAAAACAATCCTTGTGCCGTTACAAAAACAATCCTTGTGCCGTTACGAAAACAATCCTTGTTGTAACAAACACAATCCTAGTTCACCGAAAGCAACCGGTTTTTTTTTAACGAAAACAATTCCCGTAATAACGAAAACAATCTTCGTTATCACGGAAACAGCCCTTGTTATAAGGGAAATAATCATTGTTATTTAAATTATACATGTGCGTAGATAGCAAGCGAATTTCAAGATACAAACTAATTCTGCAGAAAACTGCAAAGGAGGATGAGAAAAAGAGAAAATTTCGCTTCAGAAATATTCCAGACTCACACAAATTTTTAAGACAAATTTTCAATTTAGTGTCTGCAGTTTGAAATGAAAATGAAAATCTGACACAAATATACATGCATTTATGGGAACCTGCAGTATGTTCCTAGTTTCGTTTTAGAACTGGGGATTAGAAACTTGGAACTTCAGGATCTCTGCGTTCCGCTATCAATTATCGTAGTAAGTAGTGAGCTATGTCAGTGTTTTACTAATTTATTTTGACCTGGTCTGCTTAGTGCTTTGAAAGAAGAATCGGTAATTCAAACAAAAAATCTTTTGAAACATAACAGACAGTTTTATCTGAGAAATATTTTCATAATAATAAAAAATCTAAACGTGAAGTTTGTGCAGTTTTATACGAGTAACAGATCCGGAATCTATACCTTACAGCTACGGAAATTAGTCTGTCCGTTTTCCATTTGTGTTGATTGATAACTACTGTATGGATTAGGTGTTATTTGACATGTAAGTCCAGGACATCCCACGGAGGTGACATCAGTCGATCACATGTCACGGTAGTTACGGTAATGTTATCATTTGTGTAATAGTATTTTTGATGCTAAACGTAACGTAGTCGTACATTTTCAGACGAGAATATTGAGTCTCAACATCTCATTTTTAAAATAAATTACCTGATTCTATAGCTGACAGATTAGTTATGTCATTACCGCGAATAAATATTTGTCTTAGAGGGTTTAAGGCCAGTGATGTTGTCCATGGCAACTACGTGTCGTTTAATGAATTCATACCATGCCGGGTCCTGACATCTATAAATAATAATGTCGAGCTATTGAAGGCGTCGCTAGATATTTACATAGTGTACCTAGCTACCGCAATGGACAAGATAGCAGAACAATAACTTCATGCCACTCGATCTGTCAAGCATGACAAAATACAAAAAAATCCACTGAATACAAGACAATGATTTCATAATCCCTGATGGATTACTTTCTACTTTGGTATCAATATATTTTTAAAATGTACATAAATTAAACAGGAAATAGATTTAAATGATTATTATTATAAAAAGCGTTTTGATAGACAGAGCGGTTTTTGTACACCCTGAAAACAAATTGAATAATCAGCTTTGAAACAATAAATGGAAAAATATACAAGCAACCTAATTAGAATTATCGACCAAATTGTTTACAAGGAAAGAAAACAGTCCTTGACATGTGTCATTTATTTACTGTATAATACACACCCTTTACTCCAAAAACCCGATATTGTGTACAACAGTAAATATCTGATATCTTAACAACAAATGTTAAATAGACACGTGTCATTTATATACTGTATAATACATGTTTACTAAAAAAAAAACACGATATTTATGAAAAAAATAAATCAAAAGTTATTCGGAAAATATTGTTTAAACATTCCATTTCCTTAGAGATGCTTCCTAAAGCAGTAAAAAGTTGCTTTGTTTTAATAGAACATGGATAATATGTTAAAGGTAGTTACGTATATATTTCAACGAAATTGTTTATTGGTGATACGATTAAATTGATTGGTTTAGTTTGTGGTTTAGTGATTGAGTTAGAACAGAGTTAACAATATGAAAAAGAAAGCTAAGTCTGACTTTTTTATAATCTCAAATCAGGTGTTTATACATCGAAAAATGAAAACCCTCCTGCTTTCCGACCAATTCTCAACAGTTTTTCTCATCTCCTGTAAGCTCTATTCCTCCTTTAGAATACGTTATTGGTGTCTTGAATACTTATTTCACTTCTATATCCTCTACTAACGATTATAATGTCACCTTACCACACTTCCTTAGAAAATGTTCAAACTCACTTTCCAGAATTGTCAGACACGAAAAAGAAGTCTTTGATATTTTATCCATTCTTGATATAGGAAAGGCTGTTGGTCTAATGAGACAATGATGTTTTTTAAAAGTATCGATCTGGATTCTACCAAGTTCACTCCACGTCTACCAGTTAATAGAACTGTATCATAATATTGTCTCTACTGTTGATAATAATGAATACTCTTGTGTTGTTTTTGTGACTTGTCAAAAGCTTTTTACAAAATGGCATAAAAACCTTTGTTCAAACTACTTCAGTATGGAATAGGAGGAAGGCTTCTGTCCTGCCTGGACAATTATTTAAGTAACAGAAAACAATCTGTTTTGTATGAAAATAACGCTACAACTTTAAAGAATGTCACAGCAGAGGTTCATCAGGGTTCTGTACTGAGGTCGTTGGTTTAGCTGATCCCGTGCGAACATTTGTCAGGCTATTTGCTGATGATTCCACTGATGAAACTGTCTGCCAATTTAAATGAAATCGAGCAAACATTGAATCAGGGTTTGCACTGTCTTCAAACTTGATCTGATCAATAACAAATGCAGTTCAATTCTGAACTGAAGAATTCAAGACTGAAGCAGTTATCTTCTCTTCTAAACATATCCCGGTTAAGCCTAATTTGGTATGCAAGGGTTAGCCGATTGAGTTCAACGACTCACATCGTGAGTTAGGAGTAATTCCTAGTAATTATTGCAATTGGGGAGACCACATCAACCAGTTGATCAAATCTTCTTCACAAAAAGTAAATGCTTTGAAAAAAACTGAAGTATAAAATAGATCAGTATACTCTCAATTCTATATATGTATCATTTATACGATCTGTGCTTGAATATACCTCGTGTGTTTTGGATGGATGTTCGGAACACTTGTCCGACTCCCTAGAAAAGGTTCAGTTAGAAGCAGCTAGAATCGTCTCTGGCCTCACATCCATTGCTTCTCGTGACTCTTTATATACTGAAACAGGCTGAAATCCACTCAAACAGAAGAGAGGAATCAAAGCTTACCACATTCTACAAAATATATAACAAAAACGTCCCTCTATACTTAGAAAACTTGACACTATCTAATAGGCATGACTTAAATTTAGACAATTCTACTAAATCGGATTTATCTCTAAAAACTTACTATCCCACATACACTCTTCATTTCCTGATTGTTTACATTCCGGTTATACCTTATAATGTTATACATGGCCCCATCAGACACTACTGCAGTGACTGGCGTTCAGATTTATATAGGGTGGTATTCCCCGAATTGTCCGTGTGGCAATGGTATTGAAGACGCAAGTTTCCTTACATGTTCATAAATATCTTATTATAGACGCATATTGTTTGATACCTTGTATGAATTAGAAATATATTTTAATGTAGAAACTATCTTTCGGGGCGACAATGATTTTATTCATATGAAACTAATTGTAGTATTGTTAGATCTGTTCAAAAGTTTACAAAAACAAAGCATTTTAATACTACTTGATTCTGAACTGTCATAGTCGACACTGAATTGATATCTATATCATCTCTTTTTCTCTTCTTTCTGTCCTATCTTCTCATCTTTTCCTTCTTTTGACAACATGATTTAAATTTACCATTGTAAATTTACGAATTACATATCTTAATGTTAATAGTATAAATATGTGTCATGCGCAGTGTATTAATTATTTGTAATTTTTTAAGGAGTTATTAAGTTGCTAGAACTTATCTGTGATCCATTTATCTGTTACTGATTATAAAACATATTTCAATCAGTTACAAGTTGATTCATGGTTTAGTCAACTTATCAAGTATTTACGTAGTTTATTTTTAAGTGACGTAGTTGTGTTACTTTTTAAACTGGTTACGTGGTTGAGTAAATTTGTTAATGAAGTAACGTGGCTCACATAAATGGCATGGTTCAGTTAATAGTGAACCCTGTCGTACACATATGGTTCCTTACACTAAATATGTCATATAACAGGCCCTACGGATCTTTTTTAATGCATTTGATGAGGTTTCCCTCTATGTGCTGTAAATAACACCAACTTAATCTTCAACACCTAAACTTTATTGTTACACAAAATGTTCCTTTCATTGTTTTCACTGATAAATTTCTGACAATTTCAACAAAACGAAAAGTTGATTATGTGATACAGGAGGCATGATACGTAATACAAAAATAATGCAGCTCTATAAACACGATCAAAATAGGATTTGTCTTTTTTTTCTTCTTTTTTTTTTTTTTTTTTGTGAAAATGTATGTCGAAATTCCAGTTAATTAGAACAACATGTGATTTGTAAACAAAATACGAGGTACCCAGTTTGTAATAACATACTAGTGTAAAATTGGACAAATCAGATTTACATGTACATTGCGATTGTTCTTCTTTTCAGGATCGGCCAGTGTCCTCCTGTTTGAACCAAGCTTTGTTAGCGACTGGACAACGATAGAGACACAAGCTTCAACAGAAGTCAAATTCACGCATGATTTCGGAGAGCTTCCGGTCAAAGTAGTTGCGGAACTGAAACTTAACATCAATGGAGAAGATCTAATCTTCAACGCATTGGGAAGTGCTCAAATTGATGACGACAGTTATCAGGGAACATTGTATGGAGGCATTATTTGTCTGTACAACGAAGATTTGATTCACGTCTTTGCCCCAAAGTCTGCGAGCAACCCGATTGGTCGGCTAGCATATGTAGGTAAGTATATTTAAGATAATATTAGAACGCAATGATGATATATTTCTGAAGAGACAGGGTTGATATGAAATTGGCACTGCCTAATAGCGAGTGCTTTATGTTCAATACTATAAGATGTATATTTAGCAAACAACAGGAACGCTCCTGCTTGCACTTAGATAATTGTTGTTTTTTTTTTTTTATTTTCTCTAACGATATCCTTCAATACTACAATATTTGTCAATTTGATCCCACATTGAATACACGACGCACGTGGTAATGTTCACAGGGGCAGACAATGACAGTTCTTATCCTTCTTAGTAAAACCTTTTCTCTGTTTCATTTTGTTTCCAAGCGTATCGTTTCATGTCTTACATGCAGTGTGTCCCGCTTTAATCCTGATAAGTTAAATTCTCCGACGAGTTTTCCCGTTATGGGTTTCAAATTTCAATACATGTGTTTGTTACGTATACGTTTCTGTGAATTAGTTTAACCTTCTGGCAAGTTTTTTCCCTCAAAATTGATTTGACGTATATTTTATAGGTCATGATGATATTTTTACCACTCGACAGGCATGAAGTTCCCTTTCTATGTTTGCCACAAAAACTTCCTTGTCGTACAAGCTGTCTAAGGCTGGAAGCATATATTTCATTTCAGAACATTTTATTGTCTTGATGTCGATGACAAATGAAATTGGGCAACAGGCAGAGCCTGAAACAAGTACACAGACACATCAATCAAAATTAAAGATATTAAATAATAATGATAGCATTCCAGGAATAAGAATTTAGAATATAGATTCAGATGAATAATTATCTAACAGAAATGTAAGGCAAGCATTACCATCATTTATATTATAGTGTTAGAAAGTAGTAAGATTAGATAGGTAATATAATTATATATAACAAGATGGAGTCTAAGTTTGTCATTTGATCACGACACAGGCTGCAGGTTCAAACAGTCCATATACCCACAATCCTGAGCCGAGTCCGTAAAATTTGACAGGCAGACCAAACTTAACATAACAGATTCAAATTACAAATAGAAAAAAATGTATATATAAGTATACTAAGGCTAAAACAGGCGACCGGTATCAGTTATGAATCTCTGAACCAAATCAAGAATAGATTTATTTATATTTGCATCAGGAGTATGAGATCCTTTAAGAAATGCATTAGTGGTAAGAGGTATAGAATCACTATGTGTAGAAAGAGAATTAAGGAGGAGTTGTCTTTGAATAGTAAAGAAGGGACAATGGAAAAAGAAGTTAGTAAGATCTTCAACTGGGTGGCCGCAAGTACAGGCAGGGTTGTCATTAAGTTGGAATTAAATAAGTCAAAATTCAGATTACTTGCAGAGTTTCGTAGTTGACACAAGATTATGTTTGGCTTTCTGTGACCGTAATATTTAAAAGTATCAGTGCATTGTAAAAGAGGATTGATAACAGGCTGTGACAAAAATGTTTTTTTTATTGCATAAATGGATGTCAATGAGGGAAACAGGCAGGATGGGTCATTCCATTCAGTCATGGGTTTTGGAAAGAAACTAGTGCTATATTGACGAGTTCTTGCAAGGGGCACATCAAACAACCTATTGTGTCGAAGAGGATAATGAGCAGTATTATTGTTGATAAAAGGCTGGATAGAATCAGTTACATGAGGAAGGCATCTGTTATTTAAAATACTTTTTTAAAAATGGATATTTTGATGTAGGTGTCTTCGTTTAGCTAATGGTATTAATCTAGACTCATTATAAAGGATAGCATGACTGGTGCTCCGTCTCAGGCCAATAATAATGTGTATTGCCTCAAATTGAACTGATTCTAAGATGTTGCATTCCCTTTCTGTGCAGTTAGACCAAACAACATCAGCTTATTCTAAAATAGGACGAATAAATGTAATATATATATTAATTCAATTGACTTTCTCTCAATTTTGTACTCTGACATTCTAAGAATATTTATTCGTTGATAAGCTTTCTCATACATACAGCTTATGTGGTTGGCCTGCTAAAAATTAGACCCAGGTGCTTATGACAGGTAACAGTTATCAAAATACATGTTTGGATGCAACATTTCAGAATCTATTCGCCTAGAAAAAAGTACCCCCACCCCCAATCAGGCCATATAAAGATGTGTCATCAGCAAATAATTTCACATTAGATAGTAAATCATCACCAATATCATTAATATATAGCAAGAACAGATAAGGACCAAGAACTGAACCTTGTGGGACTCCAGCCTGTAATGTTTTCCAGTTGGACTTGTACCCATCTAGGACCACTCTCTGTCTCCTGTCAGATAAATAAGATGAAAACCACTTTAACATGTTATTACTAATACCATATTTTTTCAATTTGTAAATTAACCCATCATGCCAAACTCTATCAAACGCTTTGCTTCTTTACCTTTATCCAAATGTTTAATAATTTCATCATATATAATTAAAAGTTGATTAACAGTAGAATCTTTTCGTAAGAATCCTGATTGGTTTCTAGAGATAATATTGTATCTTGAAAGACAGTTATACAAATATTTGAAAACACTTTTCTCAAGGATTTTACTCAAGATTGGAGTAACAGAGTTTGGCCTATAGTTGGCGGGGTCACTTTTTCCTCCTTTCCCGTTATACACAGGTGTTACATAGGCATTTTTCCAGGAGGTAGGAAGTACACCTGCAGAGATTTATTAAATATTATAGAGAGAGGTTTAAGTTGGGATTGAGAAACTCCTTTTATGGATTAGGAAGGGATGGAACCAGGGCCTGCAGGTTTGTTAGTATTTAGAAGCTGGTCAATAATGTAAAAATGTAAAATACTGATTTAGCAATTCTCGCCACCATTTTCCAGGAGGAATAGTTTTATCAATAAGAGAAGATTGTAATTTAGATAGATATTTATTTTTAGCCTCTCGGATTAAGGTAATTACCTGGTTTCGGATGGTTTTAAATTTATTCCAGGAGGCTTGGGAATTCTGTTGTTTAGCTTTAGAATGCTGACGATTTCTCTGTCTTATTTTCAGTCTAATTTCATTAGTCATCCATATTTTGTCATTAGGTCTAATAGTTACAGTCTTGTTTGGTACAAATTGGTCAATAGCAGCTCAAATTTTGTTAGATAGAATATAATTCATTTCATCAATATCACTTACTAATTGAAAATTCCAGTCAATAGAACTAAGAAATTCATTTGCTCCGTCAAAATTAGTATTTTGGAAGCATATATGTAGTTTATTTGGTTTATGTTGGTTTCTGTTTTCACTTTAAATCTCCAGATTTTGCGTTCATTATGGAATCAGATTGGCCACAGATTATAATAACACAAAATTTAATCAAACCTCTGCCCAATTTTATTGTTATATTTAAGATATCTCCCTGTTTTTATTTCATCTTTATGAGACAATATTATCACCAGATATATACACGTGTTTCATTTTCATATGTTGATATGATTCTAGTGAACTAGGTACATGAATCAACACAACATACCTTTTGCACGAAGACCGCTTTAGTATGAAACGTGCCGAACTGTCATAACCCCTGCAATCATAAGGAAATACATACATGTTTTTATAATAGTATCCCATGAAAACAAGAACGATAAACTAGAGATATGTTTGGGCCCATATACTGCGTCATTGTATCAGCATCAAAAGAGATATATCATGCGAGTCGGACATCGACAAACTCGTTTCAGGAGTTGATTCATTAACTTTCGTTAACGAGTAAAATTAATTCACTTCATTTTAACGATCAACGTTCTCGCATCAACTAGGGTCCTATGAGGACGTATGTCAAGTGGAACACCAAGAATAGAAAACAAGGCACAGAAAGAATGGGGCGGGAAAGAAAGAGTGAGACGGGAAAGAAAGAGTGAGGCGGGAAAGAAAGATTGAAACGGAAAAGAAAGAATGAGACGAGAAAGGAAGATTGAAACGGGAAAGAAAGAGTGGGGCAGGAAAGAAAGAGTGAGACGGGAAATGAAGAGTGAGACGGGAAAGAAAGAGCGAAACGGGAAAGAAAGAATGAGACTGGAAAGAAAGAATAAGACGAGAAAGAAAGATTGAAACGGGAAAGAAATAATGGGGCGGGAAAGAAAGAGTGAGACGGGAAAGAAAGAGCGAAACGGGAAAGAAAGAGTGAGACTGGAAAGAAAGAATAAGACGAGAAAGAAAGATTGAAACGGGAATGAAAGAGTGAGACGGGAAAGAAAGAGTGAGACGGGAAAGAAAGAATGAGACGGGAAAGAAAGAATAAGACGAGAAAGAAAGATTGAAACGAGAAAGAAAGAATGGGGCGGGAAAGAAAGATTGAGACGGGAAAGAAAGAGTGAGACGGGAAAGAAAAAATCGGATAGGAAAGGAAGAATGGGACGGGAAAGAAAGATTGAAACGGGAAATGCACTAATATGTTTAAAACCAGACTCCAGACTTACTATTGTTGTTGAAATGATTGATAAAAAGTTAAAGTTTTATGACCTGACTTAATTCTCATCTGTTTACCACGTTCCGTTGCTCTGCAACACAAAACAACAAGCAGTGAGCTCGAGGAAAATTGTAAACCACATTGTTTTTATACCGGTCGCTAACTCTAAAATAACAATCAGTCACTAGTTGGCAAAATCATAGTTCAGTTCCGCTCCAGTGGTCATACTAATAGAGCCAAGCACTTAGTTTCCAGATGGGTGACATGACCGTCCGCCACTCCAACATGTAAATGTGCATTCAAAATATTTTTAAGTAAACAACATCTAGGGATTGGCTTATTGTCGGCAGTTCATTCACGTTGGCTATTAACGGAGTTTAAATAAACAGTTACATATACAGTAAAGTTAATGTAGTGCCGCAGTCTGTTACATAAATGATGTCTCAGATCAGGACCAATTAATTAAAAACATCGCTAATTGATCAGTACAGAATTAGGCCATGTTCTTACTGGTGATAAAAATGTATAGCTCTCAGGCTGTCGACAGGCTAATAACACCGGCATACCTTATGGATTGATTTACACTAGCCAATAATACGATAATTGATATATTGTTCTTCATCAGGGTTTGTTTTTAAAAACTTTGACAAGTAAACACAAATTTAATCACTCAATGTTACTGGAACCTTATGGACATTAACTCTCAGACGCAATTACATAACAACAGGAAATATATTATGGTGACTATATCATTTAGCATCGGTTTGACTTGAACGAATAAAACTATCAAGATTTTCACTTGTTCTGATTGGGTAAGAGATTGTCACGTGCAGGTCGATTACTAAGAGATGAATTTCATGTTTCTAATTTTGAACAAACGAAGTATACGGTCTGGTTACCCTTAATGATCCTTTCTAATATTCTTTTTAAAGAATTTTCTTGAAAGTATTTTCCATATTTTATACACGTATGTTAATTATTGTGTCTTTGTCTGAATGTTCAATTTTAAGATAATACCATTTCATAAGATATTCACATCAGACAATTACCAAATTACACGTAAAATAAGTACCAATTAACGCCTTTTATTCTTTTATTTCGGTCAATATAGTGTTACCATTCAGGTATATTGATCTGGTAGAAAGCAAAACAGTTGAGGACGAATACTTTATCGTATTGACCTCATTAAAGGTCCGTGATTAATAAATATAACATTTTCTGGTAAACTGTTTTATATATATCTGGTATTATACCTATTCTTAGTGTTGTTATAGCTCAACAGAGATATCAGGATTTTCAAAATAGGTTCTGCAATCCAAAACCACCTTGTCTGAAAGGACGGCATATATCGTTTTCAAATACGATAAGTGTTTCTATCCTTCTAGGTGAAACTGGCTGGAAAGGACCCCTATCTCTGAACCCCAACGATACCAGATCGGGACATGTCCGTGTGAAAGCGTGGAAAGCGTGGGATTTTCCTAGACCGGACTTTTACCACCCTTGGACTGAGCTGGACGTTTTAAACCGTAAGTGCTGTTTTGAAGGTAAACATGTCTATGGACGCCGATTTAGTTTGTTGCTCATGAATTGTAACCATTTGCCCGGAGGCTGGCAAAAATGTGTTCCTTTTTACAAAAATGATTTATGATTATTTTGTTTCTCATGTTCCGTGGAGACTCGGGACAGACTTGGCCCGGCGCTTTGTGAAACATTCTTTCGAATATTAAAGCTGTGAAAGTACTTAGTGTACAGAACCTGCCATAAAAAATGGTCACTGAAGATACTGGAGTCAGTGTGAACGGCCTTCATGGATGACTACATGAATGATTGGATTAAATTGATTACCAAATAACAGCACAGATTGCTCAGTAAGAATATTTCATCAGGAGGAATGCCGATCTGGTCTTTCTATATTTATCTACTTCTGTTGCAAGTTTACACAAAACACCATCGCTTACCCCTTTAACTCCAAGGAATTTTCAAGAACACTACGGAAAATCTGTCATTTTGCTTCAACATGAAATTTCACCCCTTTCCGTGTCAACGTTTTGGTGAGCAACCCAAATATCATTTGAAACATGGGAATACATGTTTTCCAAACATTTTGAAAAAGAAAATGTTTTACGAGTGATGACGTTACCATAGGACCGGAATTTTAAACATTTAAATATTTTAGAGCGTTAAAGTGAATTATCAAGGGAGACATTGAGAAAAAATTGCATAGAAGGAAGAGAAAATATCAGATCCCAGTTCCAACTGCACTGGATGTTCACTAGTTAAAGTTAAATATTTAAATAAAAACTTTATATATTAATGTGTTGCTATTACTGATCTTTACAAAAATAATGTTTGTTAATTTAATGAAAAAATATATGATGGACAGCTGAAGCTTGCTGGTTTATAGCTACAACACAAAATACCATAGCGCTCGCAGTCCCACTAGCCGATGTTACACTTCAGAAAGCCGTCAGGAAAAAATGTACATATAGAGCAGGTGTGTTTACCTGTATAGTGCGATATCGCAAGTGCTGCATGCTTTTTCTGAAGTCATATCACAGGAAGAATGCAAGTGTATAATTATACTAAAAGGATAAAGAAACGCAGGGTGAACTTTATACCAGAAATTAAGTATGATATCGGGCTTCATTTAAAACGAAATTTTGTATACTTACAGATAAATTAAAGCTTAAAAATTTCCAAAGTCTGCATTTTGCATCTGACAATTGGTTTAGAGGTACTAACGATTAAATTGAATGGACCCATAGGATTTTGAAATTGAAATTGAACTGATTCATCAATATCTTGTGTGTCCGCCGTTTGCTGTGGTCACGGCCCTTATTCTTCTGGTCATAGACATCATGAGAGCGTTAATCCGTCTTAAGGGGATGTTGTCCCACTCTTCAATCAGAGCTCTGGTCAGGGGGTGGCTGGCGCTTTCGAACCTGTCTATCCAACTGGTCCCAAAGATGCTCGATCGGAGACAAATCAGGGCTATATGGCGGCCAATCTAGTGGTTGAATGTTGTTGTTGGCCAGAAAGACTTGGCAAATCCTTGCCACGTCGTGCCTAGCATTATCCTGCTGGAGGGTTATATTATGCTGTTGTAAGAAAGGGATAACATGGGGTCGGAGGATCTCATCTCTATACTTAGCTGCTGTTAAATTGTCATCAATAACAACCAATTGTGATTTTAACCCGTGTGAGATTCCTCCCCACAAACCTATCCCTCTCTACAACGCAAGCGTCCGTAAAACGTTCGCCACGACGTCGGTAGACACGTTGACGGCCGTCAGATCGATAAAGACAGAATCGAAACTCGTCCGTGAAGAAAATTTGTCTCCACTGCCTCAGTGGAAACCGTCGTGGAGCATGTGCAGCGACCCAGGCCATACAACGCTGACGTCGAGCAGGGGTAAGGTGTGGACCTACGTAGGGGCGACGTGCTCTTACACCAACTTCTCGTAATCGATTCCTTACAGTTTTTGAACTTATAGGACGCCTATGATTTCCACGAACATTAAGTGCACTCTCAACGGCAGTAAGGCGCCGATTACGCACATGAGAGACGACGATATAGCGATCCTGACGTCGTGACGTTACGCGCAGACGTCCTGACCTAGGTCGATCGGCCAATCGCCCAGTTTCCCGAAGACGTCTTACAAGACGTTCTATGGTGGAAACATTAACACCAAAGTGCCTAGCAACCTGATTTTGCAGCTGTCCTTGCATCAGCATCTGAATGGCCTGACTCCTCTGAACTTCTGTGAGTCGTGCCATTCTTAAAACGAATCAAATTCTCAATTAATTTTAGGGAAGCAGTTGGTCTGTATGAAGACTAACGAAGAGTGACTTGACCAACGCTGCATGAGACCAGAACAACACGGTGCACGAGATTCTTGTTTTTTCCTTCCTCCATTTACCAGAGCTGCGCACTGTACCGTGACTAAATTTTCGATACATGACAAGGTGTAATATGACCTCATTACTCAATCCACAAAGTTTCACTTTATTTGGAGAACGCGTTTTCAAAATATCGGAATAAATATTACCCTGCGTTTCTTTATCCGTTCAGTATATTTGAGGGCTTGCTGTGTAGTCTGAATAGGACATACATTATATTGTAAATATGTCACCTCACGTAAACATCTAAAGGATTTTCCGACTTTGATTCGGTAACGATCGTAAACGGAGGCACGTTAAAAAAGGGGAATCTCAACCGCTTCTTTATCAATACAAACGCATCATGTACATGCATAAAAGTTTGGATAATAGGTTTCCATGTATTGACATTCAAGTGAAATATCTCGTTCTTTATGAACATATATGTGGTATACAAACGGGACCCGCGAATAGGCATCTACGTACACCGTGGACATGACGTTATCAATCAAAGATGTTCGGGAAAAATTGCCTTGTATTTTCAACTCGCAAAAAGCGCTAGAAAATTTACCAAATCAAATTTTACTAAGAACAAAAATGTTCAGCATTTTCTCCAAATTTCTGAGATATAATCAGTAGATCAATACCTCCACCAATAAGGGAGATATGATAGTTTTTTTCCAACACTGACGTCACAAGGCGTAGAAATATGTAGTTACAGGGTGAAATGAAAACTCTGTGTTGATTCTCTGTCACCATGGCAGCATATTTTTTCTTTCAGATAACTTAAGTTTCCACGAGATTCCACATAACCTTGGCAGATACCCTGATTACGTCATCGTACAAATCAATGGCACCAGGTCAGGGATGACGGCAGAAGCCATAGGTAAGAAAACAATCATTTTAAATCTAAACATAACTGCTATATAATGTGGTTTTCGATTGGATGATTTTCATGGCCTTATCCCTAATATGATAATGAATTCTTACACTAGCCATAATATGGCGGTCACCTTTCCGGTTGAGTCAGATGTTCGACAATGATATTGGAGAAACTTATTTAAAGGACATAGTTGAACGTGAAATGGACAATACGATAAGGATAGTCCATGGGACATATTCCGATTCCCCGCTTTAAGTTTGTCGGTACAGCGTAATTTCAGAAGGTCGATAAAGACGATAATCATTACAGTAGTCTAGGTGATATAAGGAAGGGGCGGGTCAACTTACCGATATCACAGCTTAACCATATCACATGGTATTGTCTCCTACCTTCACTGGACAATTATACACATAATGATACATAAATCCTGATCTCTATTTAAAAGAAGCTGACAACTTCTGATAAATATCAGCCCCTTCACGATCTCCTGTCGATGTCTTTACGATATCAGTTGATTTATCGATGTACTTTAATGAACGAATTACTTTACCATTCTGAAATAGACATGATGAATTTAGGTCATGTATACTAAAATCAATATAAACAACGATTCAGACCAATACACAGCACATCCTAAGTCTTTTCAGATGCTTCGACCTACATTCTGACCTGAATTAATCAACGTCTTAACAAGAAAGGCAGAGCTTCTACATACGTACTTATATCCTTCATTAATGGTTGATTGGCTAAGAACATGTAGCGGACAGTTCTTAGTTACACCACTTTTAGGTTCAAATCATTTTAGAATGGGGATGATATTTCTGTTTTTATGCATATACTGGAGATAAGATCACGGATTTTGTCGTTTTTATAACGAGACGAAGCAAGAATTTATTATCTAATCTCCATTATATATATCAAAACAAGCATACTATCCCCTAAATGATATTCGACACACTTGATTCCCGGGACAGCTATAATATGGTGTTACCAATTCAGCTCTTAGCAAAATGAGCTTCAAATATGAAATCGGCGGTCTTTTGTTCTGAAGAGAATAATACCGTTGTGGTATACGTACTGAAGATAAAGTTAATCGTTTATATCGTTGTCATGTTTTAGTATAAACAAAATAAAGCAGTACCATGGCTACATGGTGCTAGGTGGTGTGATGTTTGACTGAAGTTTTCTCTCTGTAATTACAGGTTCTATCAGTGTACTAAAACAGTACCATGGCTACATGGTGCTAGGTGGTGTGATGTTTGACTGAAGTTTTCTCTCTGTAATTACAGGTTCTATCAGTGTACTAAAACAGTACCATGGCTACATGGTGCTAGGTGGTGTGATGTTTGACTGAAGTTTTCTCTCTGTAATTACAGGTTCTATCAGTGTACTAAAACAGTACCATGGCTACATGGTGCTAGGTGGTGTGATGTTTGACTGAAGTTTTCTCTCTGTAATTACAGGTTCTATCAGTGTACTAAACAGTACCATGGCTACATGGTGCTAGGTGGTGTGATGTTTGACTGAAGTTTTCTCTCTGTAATTACAGGTTCTATCAGTGTACTAAAACAGTACCATGGCTACATGGTGCTAGGTGGTGTGATGTTTGACTGAAGTTTTCTCTCTCTAATTACAGGTTCTATCAGTGTACTAAAACAGTACCATGGCTACATGGTGCTAGGTGGTGTGATGTTTGACTGAAGTTTTCTCTCTCTAATTACAGGTTCTATCAGTGTACTAAAACAGTACCATGGCTACATGGTGCTAGGTGGTGTGATGTTTGACTGAAGTTTTCTCTCTGCGATTACAGGTTCTATCAGTGTACTAAAACAGTACCATGGCTACATGGTGCTAGGTGGTGTGATGTTTGACTGAAGTTTTCTCTCTGTAATTACAGGTTCTATCAGTGTACTAAAACAGTACCATGGCTACATGGTGCTAGGTGGTGTGATGTTTGACTGAAGTTTTCTCTCTCTAATTACAGGTTCTATCAGTGTACTAAAACAGTACCATGGCTACATGGTGCTAGGTGGTGTGATGTTTGACTGAAGTTTTCTCTCTGTAATTACAGGTTCTTCAGTGTACTAAAACAGTACCATGGCTACATGGTGCTAGGTGGTGTGATGTTTGACTGAAGTTTTCTCTCTCTAATTACAGGTTCTATCAGTGTGCTAAAACAGTACCATGGCTACATGGTGCTAGGTGGTGTGATGTTTGACTGAAGTTTTCTCTCTCTAATTACAGGTTCTATCAGTGTGCTAAAACAGTACCATGGCTACATGGTGCTAGGTGGTGTGATGTTTGACTGAAGTTTTCTCTCTCTAATTACAGGTTCTATCAGTGTGCTAAAACAGTACCATGGCTACATGGTGCTAGGTGGTGTGATGTTTGACTGAAGTTTTCTCTCTGTAATTACAGGTTCTATCAGTGTGCTAAAACAGTACCATGGCTACATGGTGCTAGGTGGTGTGATGTTTGACTGAAGTTTTCTCTCTGTAATTACAGGTTCTTCAGTGTACTAAAACAGTACCATGGCTACATGGTGCTAGGTGGTGTGATGTTTGACTGAAGTTTTCTCTCTGTAATTACAGGTTCTATCAGTGTGCTAAAACAGTACCATGGCTACATGGTGCTAGGTGGTGTGATGTTTGACTGAAGTTTTCTCTCTGTAATTACAGGTTCTATCAGTGTACTAAAACAGTACCATGGCTACATGGTGCTAGGTGGTGTGATGTTTGACTGAAGTTTTCTCTCTCTAATTACAGGTTCTTCAGTGTACTAAAACAGTACCATGGCTACATGGTGCTAGGTGGTGTGATGTTTGACTGAAGTTTTCTCTCTGTAATTACAGGTTCTATCAGTGTACTAAACAGTACCATGGCTACATGGTGCTAAGTGATGTGATGTTTGACTGAAGTTTTCTCTCTCTAATTACAGGTTCTATCAGTGTACTAAAACAGTACCATGGCTACATGGTGCTAGGTGGTGTGATGTTTGACTGAAGTTTTCTCTCTGTAATTACAGGTTCTATCAGTGTACTAAAACAGTACCATGGCTACATGGTGCTAGGTGGTGTGATGTTTGGTTACTCGGATACAGCAATACGAGTTTGGGCTCCTGTGTACTTACCAATATCTACATCACATACAGGTATATATGACTGACTTAATTCCGACATACAGGTACGTACACCTGAGCATGATGTTGAAAGCCATAGCTGTAGCCATTATACTGGTTTTTATCGACCTTGTGTCTATCAACTTATCGGTTTATATAACAAAAGCATCATCAGTTTACCAGTATTTACAGTTAACTTATACATGTCAGTGATCAGTAATGTTACTTTGTACTACAAACACAAAGTATTATATAAATCTGGAGGCAACAACCAATCAGGCTGATTGGTTTCTCAAAAGACTTCATGAATTTGGTCATTTTTTTCTTTTTCTAATGTGTTCTTAACATTTAAGTGATAGTTCTATACTCGATTTTTTTTAATAATATCTTTTTCAATTTTATTTATTTATTCAGAATAACGAAGATATTTTAGATAGAAATGGAACTCATCTCCAACATCGTACTCCTCCATTTTCTATTCCCTGATCAATCTGTTGTTTCACAATACTCTTCAGCATCATCTCCAACATCGTTCTCCTCCATTTTCTATTCCCTGATCAATCTATTGTTTCACAATACTCTTCAGCATCATCTCCAACATCGTACTCCTCCATTTTCTATTCCCTGATCAATCTGTTGTTTCACAATACTCTTCAGTATCCTGACGACTTTATTTTTTTCATTTTCATCACTACGTTTTCCCTTTACAATTTTTTCTGTATAGTAAATATGATTTTCGTTAGATTAATTATAATTCTATTTCTCACTCCTTTTTCTTTCTTATCCAATCAAAAGACGTTTTACACTCTCGAAATGACATTGTTCCTGTACATTATCACGCTGTCTGTTTTGACATAACCTAATGCCTGTCAGTTTAGCGCTCTACCATGCTCGAACTGGTGCCTTTAATAATTGTGTACTGACTTCAAACATTACGATCTCTTTTTTATCGTCCTAAACATTGTTTGTTGGGCTACTATTGCTGCTTTACGGAGCCCGTTAACTGACATGCTCCATACTTATTTTATTTCGTTTTTTCGAAATAATAATTCGTTTTTTCGAAATATTGTTTCGAAAAAACGAAATAATATTTCGAAAAAACGAATTATTATTTCGAAAAAACGAAATATTATTTCGAAAAAACGAATTATTTTTTTCGAAAAAACGAAATAATATTTCGAAAAAACGAATTAATATTTCGAAAAAACGAAATAATATTTCGTTTAAACGAATTATTATTTCGAAAAAACGAAATAATATTTCTAATAAACGAATTAATATTTCGTTTAAACGAAATAATATTTTGAAAAAACGAAATAAAATCAGTATGGAGCATGTTTGTTAACGGGCTCCGTACTGCTTGTATAAGTATCCGGATGGCAGATTATCTGCAAAATGGACAAACAATCAATGACATATAGGCAGAGAAAATGTTAATCTCAAACGCCACGGAAAACTCAGTAAAGGTGCGTGTTCCACCAGGACAATGACCCTGTTCACAAGGCTGCCGTTGCCATGGTTGCCATTAACTAGTACTCACCTGATCTCCATCCATTAATCTTTCCTCTATTTCCAAAATTGAGAAAAAAAAAGTCCAGTACCGACTTTCGGTCGAATAATGACGTCATACATGCAGCGGAGGACTTTCTGTACAATCAGGAATAGGACTTCTTTAAAAGTGGAATTGAGGCTCTATAACATTGCTGGCTAAAGAGTATAGATATTGAAGGGAATTATGATGAAAAATAATACATGACAGCCAAAAGTCAAACCCTTAAATATGAGGATTTCAACTAACATGTATTAATCAGCCTTCGTACGTGATTATATAATTATCTAATTATTAACATCATGGAAATAACAAGCTCTTACAGTGTCTGTATACTTTGTTATGGGCATTTTGCTACGTTTACGTCTCTTTTTTAATTTCAAATGTGAATAAATATGTCCTCTCGAAGATATTCTGATCTTCTCTTCGTACTCCTGCCTGCAAACATCAATAATTCTATATTGAAATATATAATATCAACGTATCATCACTGTTTTCCCATTACCATATATACCCTAAAGCTAGTCTGTATAATTTGGTTTTTAACATACAACACTCATTTATCTTTCTCCTACTCTATCTTATCTTCACTCCATGATTTCAAACTTTTAAAATCAGTCTTTTTTTCAATCTAGTTCAGTATTTTGATATTTCTTGGCAATGCCAGTGGACATCAAGTCGATATCAATATTGATAATCATGTTATCTCACGTACTTTTACAAACTCCTAGTAATCTTTTACAAAACATTTTCTTTGTCAACGTGTGTGATGGAAATTCCATATTTCAGATCCAGAACTGAAAATGCTATTGACGTACTATCACAAACTGATAACTGGATTTCTATATTAAAATAATACTTACGATATATATTCATAACAAGGTATAAGGTTTTTCGTTCTCGACTTTTTTGCTGATTTTTTTCCTAAAAATTACATTATAACTAAGTAACATACCGACATAATTAAATTCATTTACAATTTCTAATTGTCAGCTATTATATTATTTTCCAGGTTATTAATGCACCTCAAAATTGCATTCGACATTCGTTCCACTTAACGAGACGCAATTAACTGATGTAACTCAGTGTGTATTGAAGTGCGTCTATAAAACTTTAAGGAAATAACATCCGTGATAGAGAAACCAACAAGATAGACTGTATAAATATTGGTATATTATTGTTTACGTTTGTAGTTAATTTGATCAGCACTTCTGACGGTTGGGCGGTCAGTACGGCCGACTGGATATATGATGGTCAGGGACAGATGAGGATATTTGCCTGGGTATTCGACGAATCACCTCTTTATGCGACCTCGTTTTCAGCACAGCATTTTGATTTCAATCAAAGTATTTATATAGGGGATGTACTCGACATAGACACGACGCTGGACCAAGTCGAAGTAAGTAAACGAACCTTAGAGTAAAAACTTACACGATATAAATCTTATGTACATACCACAGCTAAAACATGAACAAAAGAAAGATTTTCAAGGAATTCCGTGAAAAGGGTATATGTAGAATAAGACCGCGCGTTCTGGGAAAGTAAGCGTCTTCTGCTTCATCGACGAAAACCGCCATGTTAACCTTGGTCAATCCAATTAAGTGATGTTACGTTCTCAATTGAAAACAAGGTATACAACAACGATCCAGAAGGCTAACTAACGAGCATCAAACATCATGTAAAACCATAGGTAGGGGATGCAAGGATGTTGCAGATTGTACAAACATGTACAACATACACACCGTATATAGTGTGCACACTATACAAAAATGTACACAAGATACACAATGTACACACCATATACTGTACAATGTACGAACAATATGCAATGTACACTCCACTTATAACTTCATATTCTCTCTTGTTCTGATTGGATGAACGCCATTCTTTTGAATTAAGAACAGGTAAACCTTATGGACAACTTAGAACTGAAGGACCATATGATCCTCGGAATTATTTATACTGTACCTTTTGTCGCAAGGGATACTATATGGTTTATTTCACCTGACAACATTTTGTTCATTAAAAGATTATTCCGTTCTTTTTTAAACACATTTGTAGATTTTTATGTATTTGTTATGATACATCCATATAAGGCAATAACCAAATTACAGTAAATATTCACAAATGGTATTCATCCTCGTTTGGTTTTTTGTTTCTTAAAAGTTGGTATAATACCGTATTAACCTCATTAAAGGTCTATAATTGATAAACATTTGCTGTTACACAGGCCCAGGTGTTGGAAGGACCGAATATAGGCTATAGGTTTCCAGCAGTTGGTTCAGTCTCCAATGATGGTTTCTTCGGACCTTACGGAGGACTTATTTACGCTAAATCATCGACAAATGTGTCGCTATGGGCACCTGTTGTTGGAACGGAAGGATACATCTTCCATCTTAGTGAACTTGGTCATTGGGGCTCTACGGAAACCTACCAGACAACAAATAATGTGGATATCCGGATAATAATTTGGCAGGAATACCTTATAGGTAAGTTTATAGCTTTCTAAATCAAACCCATTAAATACATTATGTCCACATATATGATAACATCTAGCGAAGTCATCGTCATTATTTCACGGGGACAAATTCTTTATGACGTCACCTAAGAGATATGTATTATTACACCGGGAAAACGTTAGCAGCTTAAAGCGTCAGAATTTATCGGTAATGTGACCAGCAATGTGCTATGTATGTTAACCATAAGTTCAATAAGTTTCCAGTTTTATCATATCCAAATGCAATACGGCTTATAGGTACAAGTACATTGTATACGTAATCAAATTATCACAATTCATATATGTAATGTACAAGATGGCGGAGGACAATTCCTCTCAAATACACACACAAAGATATGGGCAAGAATTAGCTAATGTAACCATGAGTGTGACATTACAAGAAAAAAATTAATATATTTATAAGCCTACACATTTGTTTGAAGTATAACTGTAAATGGTGTCTTTCTATGTGTAACCAAAAAAATCATTTTGAAACTTACCTCAGTTAAGAACAAAGAGAATTAATGAATTTAGAGCATGTAACGTTGACACTATTCGCAAACTGATATTGATGGTTCTTTGACCTGTTTAAAGTTTAGTATTAGGTTTGTTTATCTCAAAACATTGTCCATCATCTCGACTTTAAAAATTGCATTTTTCAAATTTATCATGTATTTCAGAAATTCTATGAAAACAGGTTTCCTCTTATTGTTCTGTCAATGTTACATGCAAATATCAAGAGATAAATGTAACCAGAATTATGTTCTTGTTAAACACGAAATGTCATTTTTTCATTGTGTTACTATCGTATAAAGAAAATGCTATCAATATTTTTGCAACCTTCTCATTTCAGTAATAAAGTAGTTACATATATGTTGCATGTAACATGGACACAAAAAATATGAATCATAAAGCATGCCAGAAATGCTATTAAAACATACAAAAAGCCCCCCAATACACTATCTGTATGTAAATTATAATTATACTCCCACATATCTCAAATATAATATCGTTTAAGTAGTCGCATGTAACATTGACACCAAAAGCGTGCAACTATTTATTTTCGGGTCAAGGATACGTAGGGAAATCGTTCCCACCAAAAAATCGCTATGGAGACGTCAAACCTGTTTCAAATACCAGATCTACTGGGTTTTTGTTTTTTTTTAATACCAAGAAAAATATCACACAACATTATCAAAGATCATATTTTACTCCGAATGTGTGCGTAACACTTCGTTACGTGATCAAAATTACCAGATTCTGTGGTCTCCTCGAGTTCCTCTACACCAATAGACGCTATTTAGGAAAACTGCATAGTCACGTGTTACTGGGAGCGGGCCGAAATATTGCAAAAAAAAAAAACATTATCGTTACGCGATCTGTTACAGAAATACAACTGTTCCAAACAGAGGGGGTATTTTGGACACGTTAATTAATTATATTTTAATACATGATATATTTTCCGGACTCTAGTTGATAGATGAAAATTACGACAATCATATCGTACCTTGTGTTGACTCTAAATTTGTGCCGTGATAGATGAAAATTAACGTTTGTTGACAATCATTGGTCTATGTTCAATCCTATTTTTTGCAGCATTAATCAAATCCTGTACAAAACAAGCGTTTTCATCCTTGTTTTACAGTTCTTCAGGCATTTAATAAATACGACACTTTCACTACTGTAAATTTGCAAATTTATCCAATGGCGGCGTACAACTTGTGTTGTTTCCTTGTTATTTAATCAATTAGATCAATTTGTTTTTTCACATGTCGATAAAAATAAACCAACTTTAATATATAAACAATGTTTATTCTCCATACTTGCATGATTTTGTTTGTTTTTTATTGGATAACTACTTTGACACTAAAATTTCATTACGTTATATCAATATATATGACGCGAAAAGCTATGACGTACATATATGTCTATGTAATCAATCCTATTTTTTGCAGCATTAGATCAAATCCTGTACAAAACAAGAAGTGTTTCAAAGCGAAGTCAATCATATACTGTCTCATACCCTGACCCTCGATCATTTTGCAGTTGGTCCTTGGACAAGATAATTTACCGTAATGGCACTGGAAAGAATGCGACGGGTCTACCATATGTTGTTCGGTGAGGTGGCCACCAGATACTACAAGGAGACCCAAAATGTCCCTGGCTGTTCACGGAGCGATACACCCAGCAAATAAACACTTTACGATAAAGACTATAAGCTCTATCATAACACACTAACCTTTAATAACACGGGACTTATTAATTCTGTTACAGGTACTTTTGTCTTCATATTATAATCAGTTTAGAAATATGTTAGGGTGTAGTGCTAATAATTTTAGTTATTTTATTTATTTATATATGTTTAGTGCTAAACGAAGTCAAACTTAATTATTCATTTTGTTTTCAAATAAAATGTATATATTTAGTTTAATATTTCAATTATATGAAGAGAGGTAGCGAGAAACACGTGTAAATCTCAGCTAAAAACTAAGGTTAGAAAAGGGCAGTCTAAAACAACACCATCCTATTGTTAAAACTAGAAATTGTCATAGACAATTTTGACGAGCATTTCACCTGTTTTGGCCTGTACTTAAAGACAATGCCTGCAATACATTGGCAGACTGTATGAAATCAAAGTACAAAGGGAATCATCAATAGTAAGAGATCAAAGCACTGAGTGTACTGTTTTCCAAAATACTGCCGTATGTCGTTAATTTTGAACTGTACGGGGGAAAAAACAGAAGTTGATTTTTTGGAAAACATTACTTATTGTTATCAATAGTAAATGTCCACAGGACCACAGGAGGTTTTTAAGGAAATTTCACAATTGTTTACATATAAAAATATTAAATTGAATTCTTAGGAATTTTTTACATGATTGATGCCTGTGACCTTGAAAGTGGTAAAAAAATTATATTATCAAAATCGATTGACCAATATGTTAGCATGTTATAAGTGTGAAACGTCAGGTCGTCAGGCTTCACATAATGTCATTTAATGACTTTCACATAGCTGACCCCTGTGATCTTGGAAATACGTCAAATTCATCCATATTAAGAACAGTTATAGACAATTATATTAGCTTTATATGTATTAAATATCAAGTCTCTAGGTCCTTCCAAACTAGAGAAGAAGTTTCATATACATTGGTACCCTACATTGAAGTTTTGAACTTTGACCCCTAAGGAAAACCGGAAGTTTTTCTTTTGTGGAAATTTTGCTTAAGCTTAAACCAATCACAAAGAAGTCTCCATGGAAGGTTCTTGACCAAATTACATACTTGTTTTTCTCTTAAAAAGTAAGGAAACATCTTTTAATGATATCTATATAATTGACCCCTGTGATCTTAAAAGTGGGTCAAGGGTATCCATATCAACAACATTTATGGGCAATTATATTAACTTTCGATATCAAGTCTCTAGGTCCTTCCAAACTTGAGAAGAAGCTTCGTATACATTGGTACCCTACATTGAAGTTTCGAACTTTGACCCCTAAGGAAACGCGGAAGTTGGTTTTTTATGAAAGTTTTGCTTATTCCAATCAAAAGCAAGTCTCTGCAAATGGTTGTTGACCAAATCATGTAACTGTTTCCCTCCTAAAAAAGTAAAAAAAAAACAAACATCATCGAATGATATTAATATAATTGACCCTCGTGACCTAGGATGTGCGTCAAGGCCATCCATATTAACAAACTTTATATGAGAAGTGCCATTTATTTCAATTCTACATAACATATCCAATTATTTCAAAAAGTCACGTCATTAATGGGATATTGACAATAGGGTTGTTAAAATCAAATATGGCATCATGGCGGCCATTTTGTTTTTTCGACAAAGTTGAAAATAACGTCAGAATTTAGAGAGCTATGGGAACTATGGGAATTTTAAAAAATGACGTAAAATATCAAAGGAAGACGTCACAGAAGAAACGTAGACACTAAAATGATCGGATTGATATTCTGCATTGAACTTTTTTTCCCCCTACTTTTAGGTGAACTTGACCCCTTGGCGAGCTTTTTTTATTGGAAAGAATTTCTATTAACACAAAAACAATAGGTCTTTTGTCTATTCACCTTTTGGGGAAAAGACCTTTAAATGTTGACTCTAGGAGAATACCTCATTTAGATAATATAGCATGAATACAGTTCACCCGGCATGTAAGATAACTCTACTATAACAGAGTAAATTGTATCAAGAATGGATTCATTCGTCTAATTTTCATACTGTATCTTTGAAATCGACTTCAATGCCATTAAAACAGATACTTATTAGAATATACATTATTTAAAACCACATAAAGCTTGGACTTTGCCAATCTCTGAGCCATTCAATGATAGCAAACAAAACTAGGTACATTTACCACTGTATCAATACATAAAGACATATCTAAATATCGATCTGTTATCGCCATCAATATCACTGAAAACGATTGAATGTCTAAGGACAGTCAGTTAGACAATGAGGACTTGGTCGGAGTAACGGCAATTGTCTGACCATAAGACGGTGTGTATGCCAGGGTCTAAGAATGCTTTACGCTCGTGTTTTTAAGTTCATTTTTCTCATGAAATACAAATAGTATTTTTGTGCTAATCATTTTACCAGAGCATGCTTTTGTATAGATATAAGGATCTCGTGATTATCATTTTACCGGAGCATGCTTTTGTATAGATATAAGGATCTCGTGATTATCATTTTACCGGAGCATGCTTTTGTATAGATATAAGGATCTCGTGATTATCATTTTACCGGAGCATGCTTTTGTATAGATATAAGGATCTCGTGATTATCATTTTACCGGAGCATGCTTTTGTATAGATTATCATTTATCATTTTACCGGAGCATGCTTTTGTATAGATATAAGGATCGTGATTATCATGCTTTTTGTATAGATATAAGGATCTCGTGATTATCATTTTACCGGAGCATGCTTTTGTATAGATATAAGGATCTCGTGATTATCATTTTACCGGAGCATGCTTTTGTATAGATATAAGGATCTCGTGATTATCATTTTGTCTGATAATCAAACTTTTGTTGGAGGATAAGGTAAAGTTATTTTTGTGGATTTTATTTTACATTATATAATATTAAGATAACTATACTTGATACAGATGTAAGTATATCCACGTATGGATTCTCTAAACGATAAGGAGCAGCCAGGTTAACAGATTACTGTGGTTCCAGAACATTGAAGCATTGATTTTTATCAGAACATAGACCATACAGTTGTGTCCCTTATGTTTCATTTGAAAGACAAAAAATGTCTGAAAAAATATAAGGTAATAGATAAATGTAAACAGTTCGGTATCTATTTATTTAGTTAATTATGACCACCCGATCACCCCCACCCACCTACCCCTCCTCCTCTCCCAACCAACCCTTAACAAACCCCCAACCCAAGGTCATTTTGAGGCGGATTTTTCTTGTAATGTTGAAGCTAGTGGGTGGGAACCACACAGAACAACATACGGGAGACTTGTCACAAAGAAACTGAAGTGACGTATCCTTCCTTAGGACACGACCATGGCAGCACAGACCAGTCCGTTTCTCAGCTTCCTGAGAAACACAAGCCACCATGGGTAGGAGGAGTCGAACCGCGGTCCTCAGATCTTCACCTGAGGTTATTATGTAGGTCAAAGCTCCGCCGCAAAACTTAATACGGCAAACATTGCTGACACAGTACATTGTAAAGTGTAAGATAAGTCCATGATATATAATACCAGATGCTGAGAAATCGGTAATGACTGGGTATTACATCGTACAAATGTCCGACTTTTATGTATCGATCTAATGATCAAAGGAACGCCAGCATTTAATTATCGTCAAATAATTGATTATTGATTATCATAGAAACATTAAACAGGGTGTAGCACAATTAATTTGGAATTAAGTTAAGCTGCACAACCTACATGGATGTCTTTTCAGACATAGATTCTATATTGAATTTCTTTTGAGGATAAATAACAAAAATTCCGGTATCGGTCATTGTCCATATTTCCGTCGATCGGGATGCCTTCTTTATCCTTGGACAAGGTTACGGTTATTGTTAGGGTGACGAGGACGTGCTCTTCTTTCTCCTTTTATTAAAATATTTTTTCAACATTTTTAATCAATTACGATTCTCTTATCAATGACTAGTCAGGATTCCATTTTCATCATTAAAATTTTCGGAGGATTTCTATATCGATATGTAAGTTGGTTTGCGGACTTGTTTTGTTTTTAACATGTTAGTAAGTGGTAAGTAAAACATAGATGAAACAACTCATGGGCTACCACAATAAACCAGAATAAGATGGCATAGTTATGTGTATGACGTCATCGCGACTGGAGTACCATCATCGTGACAAAAGACAATGAGGTAGAAAATATCCAAAAATGTCAAGATATACTTCCGAGAGTTAGAACAAGGAGAACAGATATACTGGGTCAGGTTACAAAGGTTACTGACTCAATGAGTGCAGCTGTACATATTCTCCAAGCAATAGTTCACAGTTTTACTCGGTTCGTAGATTATAGCTGAAGCAGTTACTCTTTCTTATGCTAATTATAAGCTTCACGGGTCAGTTGTGAAGTAACATTGATGAAAAGTTCTAAAATGTATTTAGCACTGCTGTTTTTCATCATGTACTGATAAATCTATCTTGATATTGACAACAAATATCTACTTCATCATTAATCAACTTGAAATTGTCTTACAGATACTATTTCTTTACTGATAGTTACCAATTCGATTGAAAGGTCTCGTAGCAACTGTTGGTGAGCTTTAGACAACGAGATTCTACATTCCTGTATAAATTCAGTATATTATTCGTCCAGTTAACAATTTAGATATATATATTTTTTGTCAAAAATTCAACATGAATCAGGTGTAAGTTACATTTTATCTCAACTTACAGAAGTGTTGTCATCTCAGGACACAATAACAACTTTTGGGAATCTCTTATCCCCAGTTGTCAGACAGTCGAGAACAGAATAACATTAGCAAGCCTAAATTACAAATATATACCATAGATTTTTACCCGTATTGTCTCGTTAAATAGACTGATCCCCAGAAATCTAAACATTTCGATTGTGCACAGTCAGAGTGATGGTGCAAGACAAGTTCTTATGCAAGGTGCTACTGTTAAGGTGCTACTAAGCATTAAAGGTGCTATCTACCCTGAAGGTACTACAGTAACCATAAGGCACATTATTGGCCTTAAATATCATTATAACCATCAAGGTTTTGGAATAGATATTTGACAAAAAATGAAATATCTTGATAGATTATAAGTCATTTCCTCATTAAACCCGTCCGTTCACGTCTTGGTGAAAGCGTTCTTGAAGGTGCGGCGACAGACTGCTAAGCACACAAGGTGCAATCAGTACTGCTTTGAAAGGTACTTTCCATCAAAGCAACTTGTATTTATTTACCTCTGCTACAATTAGATCTGCTCTGGCTAGAAACAGGGCTACCGTTTATAACAGAATGTCGTCGACGCCCTGTCGTCACCGGCGTGTACACGCTTCGTCCACAGCGTGCAGTGTCCCGCGATCCAGACATCTAGGCAATACACTGTGTCAGCCAATCAGCGGCTCTCTGACAACAATTAGATAATTGTTGGTTACCAGGGTTATTTACGAAGACGAATACTCCCGCTTTAGCAATGAAATATAGACTGCTACGTCATATTAATCAATGACAGGGACATGTTATATCTCCAGGGACTGTATTTTATCTTATTTCGAAGTCGTTATTACGTAGAATGAAAAGTATAGCAATTTACAGGGTACTTGTGGTTGTCGTCTACAGAACAGCTGACCGCCATGTTGCTGACTGTCTCGTGCATGTGGTTGAGAAACAACATGTTTTCTTTTGAACAAAATACATGACAGCAAAGTGAAAGATATTCGTATCTATAAATAGCAGGACGGGTGTGGAATACAGATGAAGAGTAAACAATAGAGAAAGAGTATTCTCTACAGATGACTTAAAATCCTCTACTACAAATTAGATTCGGAAAATCATAAAGCGAAACATTGCGAGATATGTTGCAAAATCGAGATTTATTGTAAATTAAAAGTTTACGTAATGTTTAAAACATGTACGGCATTTTCACATTCATTTCACGAACGCTGAAATCTCTTGTGTAAGATAATCAATATTTTCTTTCTAGCTAAATAAAATCTGGAATAGGATTTAGATTGTTTTGATTTAAAAGTTTCAAAAGTTTTAAAGACTGTTGCATTCTGGTGCTGTTTGGTAGGGATGTGAGACATCAACTTCACAATCGGAAATTTAGAACGGTGTAAATTTCTTACTTTATATGTGCCTTCCTTCGGAAAGATTTGTTAAATAGGAGAGGATGAACAATATATGTTATTGATATTAGATTCATGAATTCAGTTTTTTCATCTCTCTTTGTATGTCTTAACATTTTTATCGACAGCTTTTGATGTTCGTAATTATCCCTCAGTTTCCCATATAAGGTAATCACTGACGAGTACTAGAAGGACGAAATGTCTATATATTACAGTTCAATATATTATACAACATATATTGTGTCTTTTATTCGATCCTTATATAGAAAACGTCACCTGCCCAATCGATCGTCTGAGTGACTTTGAAGCGGCGTCTAACACCGACGTTGTCGTACATGACGTGGTTTACAACGCCAACATAACGTTTGGGTGTCAATATGGATACATGTACGACGGAGGTAACACGTCTGCTACTTGTGATCGATACGGAGATTGGAACTCTCTAAATAACGCCACCATCAGCTGTAAACGTGAGTACCATCAATTTGGTTATTTTCAATGTTTCATTTGCACTGTTAAACAAATCAGAAACAATATAGTATTTTATTTTAGCAATTATTACACGGACTTCTGTTTCTTATCTCGTTTTTGATTGGTTAATTGATTTATTGTGATGTTATATATTCTCGGCCGAAAAGAGCGAAACCTAAAAATAACTTTATTTAGAATCTTATAAAGAATTCTTTATCATTAATGTTCCTGCTGACCAGAAAAGAGATTATTTCAAATCAGTACAGTATTCATTTTTTTATTATTCGTGTCAATGATCTCACTGATACTGTAACATAGGTAGTTGTCTGACGTTTTAGCGTTCAGTGACCTAGATATAAGTCAAACAGGATATAGATCTTTAGTGGAGACGCTTCTGATAGCATGATTCTGTATGCTTTTCAATGTATAGCAATTTGTGTGTTAGGCATAGTATAACGTAATCGTCTCCAATATGTTATGTCATGTACTTGAAGAGAATCAAAGATTTTTTTTATTTCAATGACTTATATGAAATGTTGATATGTTTTTAGACAGTGTTGTGTTGATATCTACTTATATGTGTAATTACATGTACGTTACAAAAGCGTATTTCTCTCAACGTTTTTGTTTTATCAGTACATGTAGATTATAGCTGAAGTAAATGTGTTAAAACCGTCAGCTGGTTTCATTTGTCTTAAAAACTTGCTATTGTAGTTATACTGTGTGACGCCAACAACTTGAGTTCCCCGAACGCACAAGTTCATTTACCGGTGGTGAGTCATCTCGATGACGTTGTGACGTATGGGTGCGACCCTGGCTACGAGCTGATTGGAGGAAACTTGTCACGTGTCTGTTTATCGGATGGAACGTGGAGCGGTTCTGCACCTCTTTGTCAATGTATGTTACCAAATCATTGTAACTGGTTTCTATTGAAATCAGGTTTTCATATCAAAACATTTCTTACTTCAATTTACATGACAGGGCGGTTGATGAAGCAGAAGACGCTTACTGTTTTGGAACACATGGTTTTAGTATCCGTCATTTGACCAAGGATTCGCTATGTAAATCTTTCTTTTGTTAATATTTTCCTTTTGTTTCGTCGATATTGAGTTTGAATCAATTTTCGAAGGCATGGCGATATTGTCTTATAATTATCGTACGGTTCCATATATCATTTCCGTTACGTCAAACCAATTTATCAATCAAATTAACATCTTGATATGTCAGTTTCTAAATAACTTATCGTTTTAAAGTATACCATTGTACATACACTTGCTCTGCAACCCGAGAGAGAATGTTGTTCCCCTAATCCACTGTATTCACTTGCTCTACAACCCGAGAGAGAATGTTGTCCCCCTAATCCACTATTATACACCTACTCTACAACCCGAGAGAGAATGTTGTCCCCCTAATCCACTGTTATACACCTACTCTACAACCCGAGAGAGAATGTTGTTCCCCTAATTCACTGTTATACACCTACTCTACAACCCGAGAGAGAATGTTTTTCCCCTAACTCACTGTTTTACACTTGCTCTACAACCCGAGAGAGAATGTTGTTCCCCTAATCCACTGTTATACACTTGCTCTACTACCCGAGAGAGAATGTTGTTCCCCTAATCCACTGTTATACACCTACTCTACAACCCGAGAGAGAATGTTGTTCCCCTAATTCACTGTTATACACTTGCTCTACAACCCGAGAGGTTATACACTTGCTCTACAACCTGTTATACACTTGCTCTACAACCCGAGAGAATGTTGTTCCCGTAATTCACTGTTATACACTTGCTCTACAACCTAAGAGAGAATGTTGTTCCCTACTGTTAATTCACTGTTATACACTTGCTCTACAACCTAAGAGAGAATGTTGTTCCCCCCGTAATTCACTGTTATACACTTGCTCTACAACCTAAGAGAGAATGTTGTTCCCGTAATTCACTGTTATACACTTGCTCTACAACCTAAGAGAGAATGTTACACTTGCTCTACTGTTTCACTGTTATACACTTGCTCTACAACCTAGAGAGAATGTTGTTCCCGTAATTCACTGTTATACACTTGCTCTACAACCTAAGAGAGAATGTGTGCTCTACAACCTAAGAGAGAATGTTGTTCCAGTAATTCACTGTTATACACTTTGCTCTACAACCTAAGAGAGAATGTTGTTCCCGTAATTCACTGTTATACACTTGCTCTACAACCTAAGAGAGAATGTTGTTCCCGTAATTCACTGTTATACACTTGCTCTACAACCTAAGAGAGAATGTTGTTCCTGTAATTCACTGTTATACACTTGCTCTACAACCTAAGAGAGAATGTTGTTCCCGTAATTCACTGTTATACACTTGCTCTACAACCTAAGAGAGAATGTTGTTCCCGTAATTCACTGTTATACACTTGCTCTACAACCCGAGTGAGAATGTTGTTCCCGTAATTCACTGTTATACACTTGCTCTACAACCTAAGAGAGAATGTTGTTCCCGTAATTCACTGTTATACACTTGCTCTACAACCTAAGAGAGAATGTTGTTCCCGTAATTCACTGTTATACACTTGCTCTACAACCTAAGAGAGAATGTTGTTCCCGTAATTCACTGTTATACACTTGCTCTACAACCTAAGAGAGAATGTTGTTCCCGTAATTCACTGTTATACACTTGCTCTACAACCTAAGAGAGAATGTTGTTCCCGTAATTCACTGTTATACACTTGCTCTACAACCTAAGAGAGAATGTTGTTCCCGTAATTCACTGTTATACACTTGCTCTACAACCTAAGAGAGAATGTTGTTCCCGTAATTCACTGTTATACACTTGCTCTACAACCTAAGAGAGAATGTTGTTCCCGTAATTCACTGTTATACACTTGCTCTACAACCTAAGAGAGAATGTTGTTCCCGTAATTCACTGTTATACACTTGCTCTACAACCTAAGAGAGAATGTTGTTCCCGTAATTCACTGTTATACACTTGCTCTACAACCTAAGAGAGAATGTTGTTCCCGTAATTCACTGTTATACACTTGCTCTACAACCCGAGTGAGAATGTTGTTCCCCTAACTCACTGTTTTACACTTGCTCTACAACCCGAGTGAGAATGTTGTTCCTGTAATCCACTGTTATACACTTGCTCTACAACCTAAGAGAGAATGTTGTTCCCCTAACTCACTGTTATACACTTGCTCTACAACCTAAGAGAGAATGTTGTTCCCGTAATTCACTGTTATACACTTGCTCTACAACCTAAGAGAGAATGTTGTTCCCGTAATTCACTGTTATACACTTGCTCTACAACCTAAGAGAAATAATGTTGTTCCCGTAATTCACTGTTAATGTTGTTCCCGTAATTCACTGTTATACACTTGCTCTACAACCTAAGAGAGAATGTTGTTCCCGTAATTCACTGTTATACACTTGCTCTACAACCTAAGAGAGAATGTTGTTCCCGTAATTCACTGTTATACACTTGCTCTACAACCTAAGAGAGAATGTTGTTCCCGTAATTCACTGTTATACACTTGCTCTACAACCTAAGAGAGATACACTTGCTCTACAACCTAAGAGAATTTGTTCCCGTAATTCACTGTTATACACTTGCTCTACAACCTAAGAGAGAATGTTGTTCCCGTAATTCACTGTTATACACTTGCTCTACAACCTAAGAGAGAATGTTGTTCCCGTAATTCACTGTTATACACTTGCTCTACAACCTAAGAGAGAATGTTGTTCCCGTAATTCACTGTTATACACTTGCTCTACAACCTAAGAGAGAATGTTGTTCCCGTAATTCACTGTTATACACTTGCTCTACAACCTAAGAGAGAATGTTGTTCCCGTAATTCACTGTTATACACTTGCTCTACAACCTAAGAGAGAATGTTGTTCCCGTAATTCACTGTTATACACTTGCTCTACAACCTAAGAGAGAATGTTGTTCCCGTAATTCACTGTTATACACTTGCTCTACAACCTAAGAGAGAATGTTGTTCCACTTGCTCTACAACCTAAGAGAGAATAATTCACTGTTATACACTTGCTCTACAACCTAAGAGAGAATGTTGTTCCCGTAATTCACTGTTATACACTTGCTCTACAACCTAAGAGAGAATGTTGTTCCCGTAATTCACTGTTATACACTTGCTCTACAACCTAAGAGAGAATGTTGTTCCCGTAATTCACTTGCTCTACTGTTAATACACTTGCTCTACAACCTAAGAGAGAATGTTGTTCCCGTAATTCACTGTTATACACTTGCTCTACAACCTCAGAGAGATTGTTTGTTCCCGTAATTCACTGTTATACACTTGCTCTACAACCCGAGTGAGAATGTTGTTCCTGTAATTCACTGTTATACACTTGCTCTACAACCTAAGAGAGAATGTTGTTCCCGTAATTCACTGTTATACACTTGCTCTACAACCTAAGAGAGAATGTTGTTCCCGTAATTCACTGTTATACACTTGCTCTACAACCTAAGAGAGAATGTTGTTCCCGTAATTCACTGTTATACACTTGCTCTACAACCTAAGAGAGAATGTTGTTCCCGTAATTCACTGTTATACACTTGCTCTACAACCTAAGAGAGAGAGAATGTTGTTCCCGTAATTCACTGTTATACACTTGCTCTACAACCTAAGAGAGAATGTTGTTCCCGTAATTCACTGATATACACTTGCTCTACAACCTAAGAGAGAATGTTGTTCCCGTAATTCACTGTTATACACTTGCTCTACAACCTTGTTGTTCCCGTAATTCACTGTTATACACTTGCTCTACAACCTAAGAGAGAATGTTGTTCCCGTAATTCACTGTTATACACTTGCTCTACAACCTAAGAGAGAATGTTGTTCCCGTAATTCACTGTTATACACTTGCTCTACAACCTAAGAGAGAATGTTGTTCCCGTAATTCACTGTTATACACTTGCTCTACAACCTAAGAGAGAATGTTGTTCCCGTAATTCACTGTTATACACTTGCTCTACAACCCGAGTGAGAATGTTGTTCCTGTAATTCACTGTTATACACTTGCTCTACAACCCGAGTGAGGAAGTTTAGACCCTAAATTATATATATATAAAAAACAAAACTTTGATGGATGAAAAATTTATAATATCTGACATAAACGACAGCGTTACGTTGACTTGGTGTTGATGTAATGGCTTTGTCTAATGCAGTATTGTATTATAGATCAATTAGATCGATCTTTACCAAGCTACAGTCCAAAAGATCGATAACTGTATTGTTTGCCGTTTTCAGCCATTCATAATTATTCGCATATATTTCAATAATATATGATACTTGATGAATGACTTGTTTACTTTTTGTTTTCAAAGAGAGAAAGCAGTCGCAAACATTTAATGAGTGTTTATAAAGTCATGTGAAATTATAGTAAAAATGTCAATGTGTTCATAAATAAACTGTGTAAACACGATGTTGCGTTCCACAAAAATTATCAAAACGTTGCTGGAGGCAGATATAAAAGCATTTAAGGAAAGATAACTCTTCAAGACCAGGTTACATAACGATGGAATGACTGGTGAACAATCGGTTTTGCTGGTGATGTTCGCTGTTGACATATAGGTAATAAATCTGTTATATTCGGGTTGATATGGAGAATAGTCTTTGTTTTTTTTAATGAAAAGCTGTTAAAGAGCAGGATGGAAACTTTGATATTTATCAGTGCTATGGAATAAATTATATATATAAACTGCAAATACTGTTATCTGATTGGTCAAAAACGAGGGGAAATATCAAAACTTGTTATTTTCATTCAATACTTGTTTTGTAAAACCTTTTATTTCACAGGTTAAAAATGTTTAAAATCTCGCAGCTAAAGAATAGTGATAAAATCATAAAATAAATGAGAAGACAGAACCGTTTTAACTGTTCGATCTTTTCTCATTATATTTTTCAGTTGTAACGACAACCACGATAGCAGAAACAACGACTCCAGTCTTAGAAACAACGACTCCAACCTTAGAAACAACCACTCTAACCTTAGAAACGACGACTCCAGCCTTAGAAACAACCGCTGGATCTGTAGAAACAACCGCTGTATCAGTAGAAACAACCGCTGGATCTGTAGAAACAACGACTGATGTATCAACAACAGCGAGTAACCCACAAACAACAGTTGCAACAGGTAAACGAAACAATCAGTACATCCGGGTTATTTTTTTCCCTCCATCTTACAAATATATTCAATATCTTATTATCTTACATGTGATAAGTTCTGCTCTCTATGGTATATACAGAAGGGGATGTATTTTTGTATAGTACGTTGTACAGATGGTTGATTTAGAGTCTTATATTATCCATTATTTTCTAGGATGAAATACAGAAAAGGTCCAGTTCATAATTTCTCTGATAAACAATTTATTTTTGTTTTATTTATTTATTTTTTTTTTATAAATCCGCTATAATGGTTGAGATCTCAGCAGACATTAATGTTCCTTTTATCACCAACAACAGCCTGTACTCGAAATGGACTGGAAGTGCCCTTTGCGGAGATGACTATTTCAGATACAGGAGATACAGTGACGTATACCTGTTTGCCCTACTACCCCCACATTGATGGAAATCTGACTAGAACATGTAAATCGGACGGAACATGGAGCGGAATGGCACCTGTCTGTGAATGTGAGTTTAACCGGCCAGCGCGTGATGAACTCTCTACTGTTTACACCTTTTACGACCTCTATTTTCCCTTTACATCAATCTTCTGTCCGTCTTTGAAAATAATCCCCTGTCCCATCCACCAATCTCCCATCCCGTGTCCGTCTACCGCTGAAAACCCTATCTTCCCTCCTTCCATTTAAAAGCGAACGTCACAATGTAAGAAAATTTTGATATAGTTTCATGTTAAGGATTCCTGGGGTTGTTTCCCTTTATCAAAGATAATACAGTATATATAGAGGAACAACTGGTATCAATGTCTTGGTGTATTTACAAGAATCGCCATGTTCAGATTTTCTCTTTCATTTTGCTCTCCTTTCATTTATTTTAAGTTGGAGTTCAGATTTTGCTGACATTTTGGAAGTTACTTGTGCTTTTCTTATATGGAATCACTTAAACCATAACACCCTTTAAATATTACTTGCTGTAACCTGCTGTCACGCTTGATTCATTCGATTCATGGTTCAAAATACATGTATACACTTAAACTTGATGTTCTTTTTAAATCAATAAATATTCAAAATCATCGACTTTAATTAAATTTGGGTTTAATACACCTTCTCATTCAGTTTTTTTTACTTTTCGCCAAATTCGCTGCAACAATTTAGGCTCTCTGCATCATAGACGAGTCCTAGAGGGACGAAACGGTTGATTGACGAATTTTAGAGGGACGAAACGGTTGCTTGACGAATCCTAGATGAACGAAACGGTTTAGTGATGAAGTTAATTCATCATTTGACGCTGCTGTCTTTAATTCTATTAATGTATCAATTTAATTGTGTCCAACATATTTATTTTAGAGGTCCTCCGTCTGTTTGATTTCAGATTGTCTCTGTCCGTGTTCCGACAACAGCACAGTCCCGGAGGCAACACTTACCCAGCTTCTCCAGGAACTTAAAGATGCTCTCACCGTAGAACCGTCAAAAACCTCGCTAGCCATTCGGAAGAAAATCAGTGTTTATGAAGACCGTGCTAGTGCTAAAGGTCTCGGAGCTTTAGGTGTGGCTGTACTAGTGTGTGTCATACTACTCATTATCGTTCCCGATATACCCCGGATCGCCTCAGACATCAGGCATTGAGCTCCATATAACAAACTCTGTCTGTACCCGAATGTCTTGTATATTAAACGTAAGGCTTGGTTGTTAAAAGACCGCTTAAAAAGGGAAAAAATCAGTGGATAGCGAAAATTTCCGAACATGAATAAAGCGAAATTGAGAAGATTCTTTATCATTCTACAGCTGTAGATTTGTTGAGATATGTCATGTTAATATATTTTGAGTGTTAATTTGCCTTTAACACTAATGTGTTTTCTGTGGCAGCATATTTCATTTACCGTTGAATAACTCTTCCTAACCTTCGAGCAACTGGGGCTAGATCAGCAATATCTATAATGAATGTAAGAGAACTGTACGACAACTGTACAATAAGAATTATAATGTAATCTCGAATTTAAGAATCAAACATTTTTTGTCACGGAAAACCCTTTAGACCCTGTAGCACCGTGTTTATTGCCTGAGGTATTACATAATCATCAACACCTATACATACGAGGGCTGATCAACAAGTTGTTTGCCTCGTATCTGTTTGTTTTATTTTTGGCAGACATATTGCATTATCTTTCCATAGTAGTGCTGAAAAAGGATATCCTTAATACAAGGCTCACAACTTATCAACCAGCCCTCGAATTTATAGTCATGACAAGCTAACTACGTTTATGTAATGATAAAACATGTATATGCAAGGCAAGCTTACAGCATTTATGTCATAAATACCTGCACATATTTATTCAAGTATACCATATAATTATAAAGAGACATGTTGTACTAGGCCTAGAAACCTCGAAACCTTATCTAACCGCAGAGAAATGGGGAAACTTCAATTAATGTATAAGATGTACAATAAATTACCCCCTGGATTTTCCAAACATCTGTTGCCACGTTTATCTGGCGAAAATAATCGTTACGAATTACGTAACAATAATAACTATATGAGTCCTCCTTTCAGACTGTTTTTTTTTTTTTTTTTTTTTGCTATTTTTCACTCTTTACTGTTGGAATAACTCAAGAAATTCGGTTCGATCCAAGACCCTCTATTAATTCATTTAAACCCTTTTTAACACCAAATATTCAGTCAAATCCACCAATTTACTATAAAATTGGAAATCGTAAGCATAATATATTGCATACAAAGCTCCGACACCAGTGCAGTTTCCTTAATTATGACATTATGAGAGTTAACCTAATTGAAAATGCATCTAGTAATTGTGGTCATCCTTGTGAGAATGTCTCACTATTTTATTTAATGTCAACGTTACGTTTCTCAAACGAAAGACGTTTTTTTTAGTTCAAAATCTAAATAATTGGACCATTGCATTAGATATACAATTCTTTTGTTTGGCGATTCGTAACTTTCCGTGGACCTTAATATAAACAGTTTTAGATCTGTGTAAAACTATAGTAAATCCAGCAAGAGATTTTAATGACAAGTTGTAAGAATACTTGTATATTTGTATTGTCAGTATTGTAATATCATTTAAAATGTACATAGGGAGAACGCTTTGATAAGTTGCAACAACGTGTGCCTAAACCGGGTATTTAGATGTTCGCGCGTCACTGTCGTGATGTTCGTCGGTGAGTAAACAAGCCTGGCTAGGAGACATAGAACCTTTGCAGTTCAAGGGAGGTAATTCCAATTCTTAAATCCAATGTTCTGTTTGATTAGGAAGGCTCTGGTTTGGTGGTCATTCTTTCGTTAACATTATATGTGGTGAATATTTTATGATAGATATAATATATTTACTTTATGGTGAAGTGATTATACAATGTTTCTGGTTTGATGGAGTTCCATGTTTGTAGGTTACGAGTTTTACAGTCAATGCCCAGTAGACGAGAGGTGAGTTTTATCCTCATGTCTACGGTCTATACAGTACGGAAATGCAGTCATTGTATATATACTTCAGCCGACAAAGATGGCAAATACCTGCACGGCTAACAATATAACAATTCATTTCGTGTAAATCATTTCTGATCAAACAAAATTAACAATCGCGGAATTTCGTTTAAGATGTCTTAATTTTTATTTAGTTTTATTTTACACAAGATGTACTATGTCTGATATTTTACACAAGATGTACTATGTCTGATATTTTACACAAGATGTACTATGTCTGATATTTTACACAAGATGTACTATGTCTGATATTTTACACAAGATGTACTATGTCTGATATTTTACACAAGATGTACTATGTCTGATATGGTGTATGACTCAAAATAAAATATTACACTTTTTAACAAATAGTTTGTGAAGTTGTTTCGTGGGAAGTTGATGACAGTCTTTTGAAAGCACGTGTTATAGGTCAGTGTATATATTCATTTGAAGTGGATATAGCCTAGGAGAACTCGAGAGGTTAAAACAACATGGAATTACCAGCCAAATGAACATCAATAAGATATCAATACAATAAAAGAAAATACAATTCAATAACAAGCTCTCACGTCAATCTGCTGGTTTATCATCGTTAGGTCAGCAATACCGGGAATCGTAACAATAACTTCATGATAAAATCAGACACGGTCTGTGTTATTCTATTATAAAAATATAGATAAATAAATGGCCAGGAATTCAGGATTACAGGTATTCACCGATGTAATACTGAAAGATAATGTCATTCAGTCAAACTTCGTTATCTCGAAGTCGAAAGCAGAATGAAAAACTTTCGAATAGTCCATGTATTCGAGTTTAGCATTACTAAGATAATGAGGGAAGATTAAGGTATAATACATATATCAAGTTGAGCAGAGACTTCGAGTTATTATAAGGTATTAAAGTTATTGAGATAACGAAATTTGACATGTTGTATGAAATGACATATCACAGACAAAAGGCATCATAAATTCTATACATACAGTATAAAAACATGTCACAAATAGAACTTCATCACAGATAGAAAATATGAAGACAAAATTAAAACATCATATTTATAAGATTGATTCTGTTTCAATCTTACATTCTAAACGATTTGTCCCCATATACGGGCGAATAATTGAAGAAACTCTGTTCAGCACTTTCATTTCAAATTTACGTTAGGTAAATGTGGTATAAACTTTCTCTGTCACAGTTAAAGGAATTAGTACACAAGCTTGAGCGTACATTGTACATCACGTCTACAACGTGAAGTCATTATTGATATCAGTCGTGTAAATTCAATCGTCTAGTTTCATTCAATATGACCTGTCGGAGACAAAGGCAGTATAAACACAAACATTATGCGTACTTCTAAAAATCACATATTCAAATGATATTATCCCAGTCTACGTACATAATTGTGTTGATGTTGATAGATCGACTGAGTATGCGAACATTACAGGTCCCAACAGTACAAATAATATTTGCGGTTGAAATACAAAAAAAAAAAAAAAAACCATGGAATTCCTACAATTCCCTACTTACTCCCTAAGATAAGATGGACCTTATTTGAGACAGTTGTTAGTAGAGATCGAAATATCCATCGACACATTACTACCCAATTGGGGTCCACAATGGATCATAGAAAATGTCAAACACATTTTCCCGTACTCTTCGTAAATTGATACATAAACTCTGTCTTCTTTAATAAGATTACAAAATGCTGTAACATTATAAAATCCTGAATTATTGTTTAACCGTCACTTCCGGTAATCTAATTAACCACATTGACTGCAAAGTTGCAGCTGTCACCGAGCTGTTACACTTCTGACTCGGTAAATGTCTCTTTTGGATCATCAAACGACACGTGACTGTCCAAATTGTTGTTCGTAATCGTTACCTCGTCATCCTGAATATGTTTCAGGATCCCATTTCTCTCTAACAACGGCGTTGTCGCTGTGATGACGTCATCGACCGTTTCATCTCTCACGGGTAAACTATTGCCACGTGCATCTTTCTCGTCGTCTACGGGTCCAGCGCGATCATAACGAACGAGAAATAATTTCCACATCTTCTCGATGATGTCCTGAACAATTACAGTGTTTGCGTTGTCAGAAATCTGTTTCAAAATGTAGACGCCATCTTGTTTTAAATGCCCATGTATAAATAGATTTATTCGCGTTTTCTGGAGATGGTCTTTTTCGTAGATTCCTGCCATTTGAAGATATTTCTTTATGAAACTGTTGCGCTGGAATGGGAAAACAGCAACAGACAGCGTTGCACAAATGTTTAATATATTCAAAACGGAAAGCATTGTGTACCAAAACCACAGGAAAATGAAAAACTTCTCGTGGAACAAATTCATTGGAAGGACACATTGCAGAGTCCACCTATGAACATTGTTGAGTTGTCGGAGATCGAAATCACACAAAGTTTGTCGTGGAAATCTAGTGGTCATTGTCCAGTCGTCCCCTCTTAGAAACGCATTTATCACTTCGTAACCATAGATATAGAATTTGTTTCCTAAAAATTCGTTCAGGAAAAAAAGGAGTCCGAAACTTGTACAAAAATATAAAAACCGGATTAAAATTTTACACGAGATGAAATAATTCCCGTAATGTCGGCCACATCCGAGAACAATATGTTTGCTAACACGTTCCCTCACAGAGGTACACGGCCCGCCCCGGAAGCGACTGATGTTGGCACAAAATATATCAATATATTTAGCTATGAGAGTTAGCCCCTTTTCACGTTGTTCTGGAGAAACATCAATTGTTCCTTTGGCAGCTAGACACATTTTCTTTAATTCCATCCCAGCTTTAAGCATCAGTAATTTCCAAACGAGGCGAGGGAGGAAAAACAGAAAAGCCATTAAAAACAAAATTACCGGAACCCATTGATAATACACGACTTCTGTCGACTCTTCACGACGAAGCTCGAAGTTTGACGGAATTTGTCGATTGAACGGGATGTAGTATGTGTTCGCTACGTAACAAAGGCTGTGAACGTATTTGACTTCTTGTTCCGTGAATTCTTCCGGACACCAGCAGTAAATAGGGTCCCCGATATAGTCATCCGTCATTAGGTACAGGTTATAAAAGCACAGGAAAATCACAGTATAATATCTGTTGGTTCGGTCGATGAAATTCTCGTCAACTCTCCCCGTTTTACGAATGAACATAAAACCGAGAAACTTGTCGAAGCTGTAAAATAAAAATGAAGTTTTGATTTACATTTTTTTATTGAAGAAATGAAGGAAATACGGCCCGGACTGGGTACAAATGATATTGCCAAATTACAAAGGCCTTTTCCACTATAAACGTTCATTTATAAGGATTTAGAAATAAATGAAATATGATTAAAATTGGTCATAATTTCAATTACAAAGAAAAACTGTCAATATTAAACAGATATGTAATATTTCCTACAGGCCACACAAACGTTCATTCTTTCAGTAATCAGTCATGGTTAATTCATAAATTTGGAGGCCTCTTGTCATACCTCTTAGTTAAAATCAATTTTTCTTCCTCCCATCTACCATCCTCCCCCATCCCCACCCCCACCCACTCTCCCATCCCCTCCACGCCAACCCCAACCTCTACTCCAACCTTTCAGAAAATGTCAGAACCAGCACTACGATTGATTCAAGTATTCCGAACTTACTTACCTAAGGACACAACCAAAATCACATGAATTATGAATTTAAACTACTTGAACTCGTCACCTCTCAGATTAAGAGAATGAGGAATACGTGTACTTATAGTGTTTACGTAATTCATATCATTTTTCCTATCAATATATTATAAAATTTTGTATATTAAAATCTATTTGACGTATTTGATAACGGAGTGACTTTAGATGTAGTAAATCTACCAGTCTTACTAACGTATGGACACGTTGTAAACAATTGTTGGACACACAAATTGTATGTTGTACATGGTCTTTCTTTGGACTACATATGTACGTTTCACAATACAAATATTTACTGTATACTTACAAAGTGACAGCTCCAAGTTTCGGAATCGGCATCTTGACTTTTTTCTACGTTACTTTTTGAAAAATGACTTCCAATAATGTCGGTTTCTGTGACATATTACCTGTACAGGTAGCAATCTACCTGTATCGACACAGCGCCATACCTGTATATACCCAGGTATATACACTGTAGGCCGCTTTTTGTCGGATTTTTTAAACCTCTTTCCTTACCCAGAGTAAGTGTCTATACAGTCTGTTGAACAAACAAACAGACTTTTTAACAATAGTTATATATAGAACCGTTTAAAACGACGTGTAGGCAATTGTGTTCCAACTAGAAGACCTTATAGCCGATTTTAGAGGTCGAATTCCATGATCGGGGTGTACTCGATCTGCCGAACTGTGGGTTTAGTTAGCTTTATTAGCCTAACTTATCATACATTAAAAAAAATTTGTGCTTAAATTATTTACGAAAAAAGTCAATTTCAAAATAAAATCGTCAAATTCTAACATGTGCCTGTTTATTCAGTAAGCATTCGGAGAAAATGATGCTAACTTTTGTAAATTTGGAACCCGTAAAGTCGTTTTGAAATTGGAGTTTCGAAGTTCAATCGGAATCGATGTTTTCAACATAGAATAGATTTTAGATTCTTTTCAGTTTATCATGTACAAGTAGCTTATCCAATGTTATGATTTATGACTTATTAAGTTCATGACAACCAAAAGTAGACAAGCAGTCTCTGCAAAGTGTGTGTTATGCTCGTATGTAATTCTAAAACATAATAAAAAGCGCAACAACGTACGGTCAATGACGATTTATCACAAGCTGTTACTGAAATTAGTGTCGGTTTATTGCACTGTGCGGGTTAATACAAGTCCATATGTACCTCATCTGTTGTCAATAATGACCATAGGAATGGGAACATGTGAATTTCTGAAATAAAATCATCTTCCATGTTGTTAAGATGACTATAATTCGTTTGTGTCTTTGTGATATACTTTGCCGTCAATCTCGTTAAATTTTAAATGGACTTTAGGTGCAAAGTATTCGGTTACGTTCGCTGACATACGGATAAGATTTAACTGTCATGATAGGAGCACTAATGGTAGAGATTGTTTTGAATATTATTTAAATGGCAGTGATCAATATATCGATTATTTCGTCAATTCACGTGATATCGATCAGCGATGGACAAGTTCTGCAAGCTGGAACGAAATAGTCTTTAAAGTTGACGTTGAAATTTACTCAAAGACAAAAAGCCGATTTGGGAGGTCTTTCTATACAACATTGCAGCACAAAGTTTATCTCGGATTTGACTTGCTAGGTGTCTGACTGTCAGCACGAAATTATATTACTCACACACGTATATATTCTGAAAACATATCCAGTAAATAGTTCGTCCATATATCGAATTGTCCTTCCTTCGTTCGTGCGTATGAGAGACGAATGGGAATTGTCCACCGTCCATTTTGTAAGTTACCAGAACTGAATGAAATGGGAGGGATTTACAGTTATAAATGGTGTGGGAGGGGGGTGGCTATCGTTATTGTTGATGCTGGATAATGTTTTGGGTTTTTTTTGTTTTGTTGATCGAGAAATCGTAAATCACCTTCGTCTCAATTGAAAGTGCACTTTAAAAAAAATAATGAAATCTTAAAATAGATTCACAAATTGATCAATTTTGATACATGAATCAGTATTTGCTAGTAGAAGTTATATTATAGCAATAAAAAAAATCCAGGTTTCTTAAAAAAGTCAATTTCAAAACACGTATGAAGAAATTATACGACCGCTCAAGTAGAGAGCGTGAAATATGTTCTAAACATTCGACCTAAGGGGAATAACTCCAACAACTTAGCTAAAATCCATGGTTCACCTCACAATACAACTCGCTTTATATTACTCTACATGTATGGTGGCTGATTAATGTCATTTTCGCTTTTCGCGTATTTCTTACAGCACGGAAAAACGAAAAAGTGCGGACGAAAATGCGAAAAGCGCCATAGTTTAAATTTCGCTTTATTTGTTTTGAACTGCGGAAAAGCGAAAATGGCACTAATCAGTCACCATGTACATGTACTACTCACGTTTTGTTTAGAATTACACGTTAGAACAACAACTAAGATCACGTGACAACGGTTCCCTACCCTATTGACTGCAGATAGACAGGCGTGTCACTGTCCGGAAGTAGTGTGACATCATAACTGGAGCTCACTTAAACAGAAGCTGTGTGAGGAGACAAACATAAAAAGCTGAGATGCAAAATAAGATTACAAAGGAACCAAAGACAATGTAAGTGCGAATTGGAAACCAGAGGTTTTTGTAGCAGACGAAAGGCTAAGTGGAAAAAAGTTCCGTCCTATGGAGCCTAATAACTACCCAGAGGTTTCTATGGAGACGGCTAGCTAATTAGACGTTCCTACTAATTGATGACTTTCTCACCACAGGTTCCATGAGAGACGACTGGCTAACAAGTGGATCCCAGGGAGACGGATACCTGATGTCAGTGGGAAAACAGCTAGCTAATTTATCATAAGTTTACTGGAAAACGTCAAGTTAACCAAAGATCCCTTAGATGAAGGCTAGCTTACTGGTGACTCCTTGGGAGAAAAGGTTAGCTAACTTTAGTGTCTTGGGTAAGCAATTGGTTAATTAGAGGTTACTAGAGAGTTGGCAGGAAAATAGAGGGAAATAAACTTAAAAAAGGAATTAATAAAATTTAGACATTTCAGATGAATTTTAATTATGATTGGAAAACAGATTTGTTAATCATTTTTGTATATGTCTGACCTGAACTGAATGTTATCTTTTGATATAATCCAGTATCATATAAATTTGACATTTTGAACAATTCTTTCAAATCTTAGACACTTATCCGTTCTGACTTAATTAGTTGGAGTGATAATTACTCTGACGATTTAGAATCGTCAGGCAGGGACTCGGCGCTATCTGGAACACAGTCCTCGCTTTTGACAATCACAAAACCATCTTCTGTATTGCACGACTGTTCCGACACCTTACATTCCGGCTCCTTTTTGGTAGCCTTGGATGTTCTAGATTTTAGTTTATTTAGAAAGGCACGTTTTCCTCTTTCCATGATCTCTTCTTTAGCCAAGAGAACATTCTCCTCTCTTTCTTTGGTTTCATGAATTTTAGCAGATATAGAATCGTGTCGTGTCCGCTGACGCCAACGAGCTAGCATAACTTTTTGTTCGGTTCTACGTGCATCCTCCTGGAGTTTTTTGTAGTCTTTGGGCTCCCATAGTTCTTTCTTTCGTTTATGCCTGGGCGTGTATTCTTGGCCAACTGCTGACAAATCTTCTTTTTCCTTTTTATTGTGACTATGACATACCTCTTTAAGAAAAGATTTTGGTAGTCGTCCATTAAACAGAAGCGTAACCAAGTAAGAAGTTCCGTAAGACCAGTAATTGGGACTATATCCTGGCTGAAGACGAAGTTTAGCTGCGGATTTATTTCGTGCAGCAACCGGCGGAAGTCGGTCTCGAAATGCCTGCGCACACGAGGAGGCGAAAGGATGTGATATTTTATCAGTCTGAAAGAAAGATAAAAACATAAACTAAGACAATATCGCCATAAATTTATACTGACCACAAATTAACTTAATATGCGGGGTAAATTTTGAGTTTGGGTTTTATAAATTGATGTAGATTTCATTGCAAAGTGAGCGGAATTTAAAATATGCATTTGTTATAAGGTGTTAATTTGAATATCTTCTGATATTTGCCTGGTATTTACATGTAAAAGTATTGTGACCTAGGATCCTGACTCTCACACAGATCGTCGGTAACCAAGGGTACTGGCGCTCAAATACATCGTCGGTCACACAGGGCCCTGACGCTCACACACGTCGTCAGTAACCCAGGGTCCTGACGCTCACACACATTGTTGGTAACGAAGGGTCCTGACGCTCACACACATTGTCGATAACCCTCAGTCCTGACGCTTATACACATCGTCGGTCACCAGGGTCCTGACGCTCACACACATTGTCGGTCACCCAGGGTCCTGACGCTCACTCACATCGTCGGTCACCCAGGGTCCTGACGCTCACACACATCGTCGGTCACCCAGGGTCCTGACGCTCACACACATCGTCGGTACCCTAGGGTCCTAACTCTCACACATATCGTCGGTCAACCAGGGCCCTGGCGCTCACATACGTCGTCGGTCACCCAGGGTCCTGACGCTCACACACATTGTCGGTAACCCAGGGTCCTTGCGCTCATATACATCGTCGGTACCCTAGGGTCCTAACTCTCACACATATCGTCGGTCAACCAGGGCCCTGGCGCTCACATACATCGTCGGTTACCCAGGGTCCTGACGCTCACACACATTGTCCATACTGTTCGTGAACGACAGGACTGTTGGTTACCGACGATGGCAATATGCTTTTAAAATTTGTCTCCGAAATTACCTATGTAACTCGCTGTACAATAAATCTTGATTTCGTTTGAAATCTAAATTGTATTTGGTGTGTTTTTCAATAAGATGCTATTGGTAGTTAAATATTTAGTATATATCAATATCAATTTGTTTTCAATTGCACTTGGGTCTAAAAAAAAGAAATATCACATAATTCTGTTATGAACAAAGACTTTCTATAAACAATAAATATACATTATATTTTCGAACAGACAAACGTCACTGTCCTCTTGTCATCTCACATGGGAAAGAAAAAAGGAGATATTTCTGCTGTTATTGCAATCCCGCCTAAAGCTTACCGCTTTGTGTCTAGCTGAAATTTGTGGATGTAGAGAGCTTGGTCCAGGGATATTAAGCGATGGAAGGATGACTTCCGTCATAATTCTCCGGTTCTACCGCGTGGTGTCCCACAGGAACTTCCCCAGGAATATCTAAAACAAACATGGTTTAACATCGGTAGGTTTTCCAGCCATGTTGTCGTGTTCCGAAAGTTTCCAAGTAGCAAGCAACGTGATTTGCTTTGTCCTTTGTGACGTCATTGCTTGGGTTATATTATGACGTCATCGACATTGTTTAAGAATCAATAGATAGACCTTTTTGCATCTGTGTCTACATGTATAGCGTCATTTAAAAAGTAACAGCTCAAAAGAGGTATGTGCAGTAAGGTCAAGGCGAGGGGAAAAAACAAACAAACATACATTCATCAAGCTATAATATAAACGAAATACTGAGGATAATACTAAGATTGGACCAAGTGAATGGTTCCATGATTATTTTCAAAATCAATTGAAAAACACATTATACAACTGTTTCGGTTAGACGCTTCAGCACATTGAACTCCGTACCCCAAACCCCGTAATCTGTTTCATGTACAGCGAATCCTACTCCCCTCCCGAACCTTAAGAAGAAGAACCAACATGTGAACATGATTATAAATCATAAATCATAATGCAAAATCAAATTCAATAAACTATGAGGAAAAGAACGATTCACACAGCGACCAATAATAAAATAAAGGATAATAAGACCAGGTATTCCAGAAGAGTAAGCGTAGTCTGCTTTATCGGAGATACCGGCCATGTAAACCTTGTCAACCAAAGTGAGTAATGTTCTGAAATGAGAACAGGGTTAAACAACAACGGAACAAACAGCAAACTAGCGAGTACCAAACTCATCAAGTTTCATATCACACAAACAAACATTTCTCAATGAGATCGCTATGACGACCGTAAAACGTCTCCTTAATAAGCATACATGTGCACCCATATTATACGAGTAACGGTTTTTGATGGAACAGAAGTGATAAATAAAATGCCAGACATCCAGGAAGGATTCTCCAACGGACGTGTGATCTGATCATAAGGCACTCTGTTCAGTATGTACATTTGTTCACTACCTGCGTGACGTTGTAAGTATTCATTATATTAGATAAGTGATAATGATGATTGTGTGGTAAATTCACATTGAAATCTCCTAAATAAATCACGGATTAAAGACATGATTTATTGGTAGTTCGATTCCAGAGATTAGCGTATGTATGTATGTATGTATGCATGTATGTATGTATGTATGGTGTATATACTTTGTATGAAAGTGTGCTAAAGACTGATGTCTGTATACATGTTTATTCTATTCTATAACTGTCTGACCATCTGTGTTGTCTTCGGAGAGGACTTATATAGGCTTATGCCTGCTGTCCGATCCTATTAATGCAATTTGTTTTTGTATTAATAAAATATTTTGAAATAATCACTATTAATATGTCTGACTTATACTGAAATTCCACACCAAATTCGAGCGTTATGAGCATACCAAACCGGTTGTGAAAGCCGAAGATATTAACGATTCGTTTCTATCCGACTCCGTAATCTGACAATGTACAGAAAATCTGTACAGGAATAACAATCCTTTGATAATCAGCTCTTTATACAATTCATATATATCCATAGTTATATAATTTATACTAAAATAAAGTCCACAGCTTAATTAACATAGGATACTACATTCATGTAGCTATGTGTGTACTATGTGTTCAAGAAGTAGAGTTGGGCACGAAAATGACTCAGGATTTAAAACAACATCGCTGCACTGATAACGAAATCAACATGCATGCAGAATACATACATAATCTTTACATGATCACTGAAATAAATGTTCACCTTTCAACTTTATAGTATTACCTTAGTGTATCGGGTATACCAGGATAGAAAGGAGATTGATACCATATTACATATACAGCACGTAAATTAAACAAGCCGGAATTTGAATTACATTGTTATCCGAATTTTACATAAAGTTTAAAAGAGAAAAATATTGAAATTACAGGATTCTTTGCAGCTTTGTCTCCAAATCAAACGTTCTACAACTGCTCGGCGACGTCCTCGACTCGCCTTTTCCAACCACAACATACTGTAACTTAACGTTCAAATGTTCACACACAAGCAACACCATTAATAACAAACCTACTGTCACAGATATACTGCATCAGACTCAACTCTCTCTAAAATGGGGGAAATTAGAATTGGCATCATTCGTTGGAGATCCGAGAGTTTAGATCTGTGCTCCGGACGATTTGTTTTCTCAAGACGCTGAGATCGCGCATCACGTGGTAGCGCGGTTGTGTATTGGGCTTCAGTGCGATTGAGTAGGATAACATGCGACATTCTCCGGTACGTTGTTTAGCGAGGTCCTACAAGAACGGGGTGATGTAATGAAGTTGGAATATAAGGGAGGTCGTTGTATGACAAAGTCAATGTTTCCATGGAAAGCAATGTTAATAACTTTGGTAAGATAATCCTATAACTATGCTTATAGACGGGGATAAATCTCTTCACAACAGTTAGAGCCATATAAGGACGGGTGTTAAAAGGGGCGCCAAGAGGGAGAACGATAAAACAAAGATGGGAAGCAAATTGGGGAAAAAAGCATAGCTATACTCCCAACACAAAAATTATAAAAAGGGCAATAACTCTGTAACTGAAGGGTCATTGTGACAAAGAATCACCAAAGTAGACGATGTCCACATGCTCTATAAAATATTTTCTATAAAAATATATGTATGCGGTATTACACAAAAACAAAAGCAAAGCAAACAACCTTTTTTACGTTAGATATCTTTCATTGAAACTTTTTTTTTTATTTTGTCCGAAAAACAACCGTTCTATGGATATCAAAACAATACTGATGATAAAATTCCTGAATTTAGGCTCACCCTTATCAATCCATGTTCCATCTTACCTATTTTTCATGTCTGGCTTTCAATAAGTAATCTACCAAGATTTCTTCCAAATTTAAGTGCACTGTTTAATAGCGCGCGCAACCAGTGTTTTATGGTGTTGTGTCTGATCCATCTTAAATGAAAATGTCGCTGGAACTTACCCATAAAACCACCCACAGCAAGCAACGTTCATGTGGCAATAAAAACATACAAATAGTCTTACACTGTAAGTCATTCAAATACATTCAACAAACATCTACGTTAATGGTTTAAAACGCATGTTTCCCAAAAATCTTTAAAAAAGTAAAATTCCATCCAATCAAGATGAGATAACGCGTGGTTTCCTGTTTAACTGATTTTCTATTTAAAGCTTCGGAACCTTCGTCTCTTTCCGTGAACGAGAAGTGCATCTTGTCTTTCACGGACATTCTGATTTCCTAGAGTCTCAGCAATTAGGAATTGTTTACAATTTTTTTTTATATCGTGGAGTACGAACTGACTTTTCTGCCTGTCAACATTGCATTGTTTAAAATAATAAATAGGTTCTAAGAGTTTTTCTTTTAAATTATTTGTTTAACAGCAAGTTAACTCAAATAAAATGACCAAAAATATGTAGAGAAGTTTTAGATTTTGATAAAAATAACAGGACAGACATGTATGCGCTACCTTTGTAAATAATCTAAATCTTCCAAACTTTATTTAACGGTTACAGTCAGAGTCTTCCATACCATTTTAACTGCAAACTGTATTCTTTTTAAAGTAAAACTAGTAGATAGTCATCTCTAGCTTTAAAAACTTTGCACATGTACAGAAATATAAGTCTGAAAGAAAAACTGTCGCACATTAAATCTACGTCCAAGTCTACAGATGTTGTCAGAGGGTTTATTTAAACCAATTGTATTCAATAGACAAATATTCCTACACTGATATACTAATATTTACACACACAATACACAATGATAAAATATGTCATACATAATTTTAATTACAACGGGTTCCAATCTCAAAGTTGTTCGTGCACAAGCTTTTGAAAATGTACATCTTTTTAATCAACTTGAGCCTATTTCATACCAAATATATTTTGAGTGCTGAATTAATAACTTCGGAAGGCACAAGTTGATAAAAACATGAGGAGAAAATACACATCTGACCATAGGTAACATGCATATACACGTATATATTAATTTCAGTTACTGTACATGTTAGTAGTCGGCGGTAGAAACTGTACATGGTTTTTGGAACATTACAACTGCATGGCATAATTTAATCCACTTGATTTTCACATGAAATCTTAAGTTTATGTAGAGGGACTACTGAAATGTTCGTGTAATACCACTGTATAGTAACATGGGGGGACAGACTCCAACACCCGGATGTACCTATATGTGTAAGCCGTTATCTGTGTAGAATGTGGTCTTGGTCAACATGAAAAAAACGGAATACAAAAGAAATAACGGAATTTGTGTCGGAATAGAAATGCCAGATTCATCAACACCAGGAAACCGGGAAAAAACTTTCAAAATCCGACATCTCACAACGTCAGAGTGATATTAAGAAAGCAAATAAAATCCTCAAGAACAATGATTGGCGACATCATGCGACAAGGGAAAAGATAGAAAATAAAAAACGGCGTTCGTGTTGACAAGTTAGTGACAATACTGTGCAGCGCTCTGGAAAAGATGACGAGAAGAATATGTCAACGTACACAACATTTGGGAGAGAAAATAGGGCCACTAGTGGACTAGTGGCATGAGGCACTGTTGACGTCATTTCCGTTGCAGAACAACTAGTCACAGGAACTTAAAAGACAGCTGTCTTCGAACCCCGAACCACCACTACTGGACTCCTGAAAGCGAGTTCTAGATACGACACCAGTAAATGAAGAGAATTTTCCTGAATCCCAACCTTTTGTATACATATTCAGTTTTCACAATGGATTTCCTTACTGTGCGTGCTATAGACGCTACACAAGAGACAATGAATAGTTGGCCGGCCGAGAAGACAAAATTTACCGGATATGTCAAAATGGAGCCGTCAAAGAGAGGCTTGATCGCTGTCTCGCCGACCATGGAAAGGGTGTGGTTCCGAGACGACAAAACCATTCGAAAAGGTTACACAAAGATCCATTTTTAGTAGAATCTGTTTGGGGTTAGGAACTAATGG